TCTGATGCACAAGAATGAAGCTCCAGTGTATGTGTGTACAAGCTGCCATAGACAAATGTACAGGCAATCAGTCTTCAGTTTCCGACAAAGTTCATACAAGGCTAGTATTAACTTCCTGGAAAATGCACAACTAAGTACACAAGTTTCGCTGGACTTGAATGGATATGTATAAGACTTGTAATAACTACTTAAAGAAAGAGAAGGTACCTCCACAGTGTGTGTCCAATAAACTTGAAGTGGCTGATGTACCAGATGAACTAAAAGATCTCACAGAGCTTGAGGCAAGACTCCTAGCTCAACGATATCCATTCATGAAGATACTGGCACTTCCGAGAGGAAAACAAGCCGGAATAAAGGGTGCTGTTGTAAATGTCCCTGTGATTGCAGAAAAGGTCTGTAAAAGTCTCCCTCGGACTCCTTCACAAGCTGGTATCATTCCACTCAAGTTGAAACGAAAAATCCAGTACAAGAGTCATGTGGCTTACCAGAACATTCGTCCAGGAATGGTTCAAGCTGCTCTTGGAAAATTAAAAACAATCAACAAATTCTACTTAGCAACAGTGGAAAATAGTGAATGGGAGGAACAATGTCTAAATGAAGATCCTGAGATATGGAAGGAACTTACAGAAGCAGTGACGGACAAGAATATTGGTGATACGGAAATCAGAGATCTTGACGAGGGAAGGTCAAGACCAGCAGGAGAAAATGATGACAAAAATCAAAATGAAGAAATAGACATGGACGAGGAAACTGATCCCAGAGATCGTCTGCGAGGGATCAAATATGACACCTGTGTGCAACCCACTGATCCTACAATGAGCTCAGACAGCATCTACAGCATCGCACCTGGAGAGGGGAGAAAACCAATATCTATCATGATGGATGAAAACTGCGAGGAGCAAGCATTTCCTACGTTGTTTCCAACTGGACAGTTTGGGTTTCAAGTAAACAGATGCACTAAACTATCTGCAAAAAAAGTATTTTAATGCAAGACTTTTGAACAAGGATTCAAGATTCGCTAGAAATGTAGAATATCTCTTCTTTGCACAGTTTATCACAGAGTACAAACAAGTAACGGACAACATTTCTATTGCTCTACGCAAGGCAAGAATCAACACAGAGGATGGGGAAAGGGTAACAGCTGGACTAATTAAAGATCCTGAATAGAATCATCTTCAATGATAAGGCCTACAACATGCTGCAAACTGTCCGAGGCTCACCTCCATACTGGCAAAGTGTCATGTTCAAGATACTGGCTGGAGTGAAACAGCTAGGACTTTTCACCTGGTTCCTTACCCTTTCTGCAGCAGACCTCAGATGGACAGACACACTCCAAGCCATTGCTCTTCAGCAGGGACAGCGATTGTCAGATGATAATATCACCAACATGTCCTGGGAAGACAAATGCAAGCCTCTTGGACCCAATCCCAGCGGCAAGGCATTTTGACCACAGCTACACTACAATGTTTGTTCAGAGATGTTTAGAGATGTTCAGAGAACTACTTCATCAAACTTCATCGAACTACTGCCACTTCATCGTTCCACTTTCCAGACAGTTTTCATCCAAACAGATTTCTAAGAAAACAGAGTTGTCTTCTTGAAACCCAAAAGTATTTTGGAGAATCTTGACGAAAAAAGTGAGGATGTGTATGCACAAACCATGCCTCGAAAATACGCACATCGGTCATTGATTCTGGAGCAGATGACTCTTGGGAGAGGATGACTTTGATACAGATGAAACAGACTAAACGAATATTTAAAAAACAGATGAGAACACCAACCCGCAGGCAGGCAGCTCTCAGGAGTTGTAATATCATTTTGTATGTCTTGTAAGCATTACACATCCCTTTGTTTTGTAGCAGATGCTACCAGTCCTTATCTGAAAATACAAGTTGAAGAAAAATATCCTGACTCAAAGCTCCTTTCAATTGATTGCTCACTTATATTCATGTGATCACATGTTCATTTGCCAGAGGCAGGAAAACCAATGAGCACTGATCTAATTTAATTTATTATTTTATGGCTCATTTTGGATCATAACTGGATCATTTTGACAGCTGGTATAGTAGTTGATTTAAGTATTATATTTCCCAATGACCAATTATGCAAATGTATGGCTTACGGAGAGCAAGAACAAAAATTCCAAAGAATGATATTCGAGGTTATATATATTTTTTAAAGCCTTGAATAGGCCCTTTGAATAGTAACATACATGAACATGGCACATACTAATCTCATATAATTGCATTATATGATCATTGTATGTTACCTCTGGGCAATTAACTACACACCATGTATACCCATCTTCTATGTTCATGTATATCAATGTTTAAAATGATGTCTTTATTATGTTCATGTTTCACAATGTCAATAAACAAAACCAAAAAAAAAAAAAAAAAATGGCACCGATTTAGATTACACACAGCAGAACTGTCCATTAATACAACTTGATAGGGTGCTTGCTTGATAACTAGTATTAACCATGAGTTATGAACGTCACACAAGGCTGCTTTGCAAAAAGCGCTTATGTGTGTCATATAAACAAAAGTCAAATCCATTGTGGAACAGGTTTTGGACATATTTCTGCTGTGTTTAGTCTAAATACATGATCCGCGTCCTCGCCGTGGTGCCGGTAACATATTGCTGTCATACATGAAGTGTCATTTGTTGACTCTAGATAAAACACAAAAATTAAAGAAGAAAAAAAAACATTTAAAAAAAATTAATCTTTTTTCAGATCAAGGGTATAAAATAAGTTTCAATTCATGGACATTATCAAAGTGTTTCCTTTAATCTCTAATTAAACATGAAATAGTTATGACAGCAATATGGCTAAAGGATCATTTTTGGGGGGTGAATTCTAGACAATGTGGAATGGATTTACACTGATGCAAAATGCAACAAAAAACGTGCAAAAAAGTGATATTTATCCCAACCACATAGTCCTGAATTCACTTTAACTCTCTCTCTTAATACAAGTTGCATGCAAATATAGCCCTTGTATTGAGAGAGTGAAAACACTATTGAATATAGTATATTTTAAATGTTTTTTTATATTTATCATGCAGGACCACTAAAAAGAATCCATAGAAGGTCTATCATCAGTGGCATGACTTATGGAAACCACCTGTTGAAATATCGAGCAACATGACATTAAGGTAAATGTTTACACTGAACCTATTTTAATTATTGGATAACTATTTTAATTATTGGTACATGAAAAAAGAACCAGATGATAAATTTTGTTAAATTGGTTGAGTGAGACCTTGTCTCTAACTGATGTCCTTATATCGCTGGATTGTGTATAGTGTGGTATGTTGTCATTATGCATGAAACTGTACATTTAAGCATAGGATTCAGTTAAGAAATGGGCAATCTAGCTCCAAAATACCCATATAGAGCCCCTCTAAATTGGCATAATACTTAATAGTTAATGTAGAACCATTTTAATTGAATTAAATTTGCTTCCCTTATAAAATTTCAATCTTGTTTATTATAACATGAATGATGGCAATTATGATTTCCTAAGTGACTTATTAGGAGTAGGAGTGTCATGGTCGAGGGGTTTAAGGCGCTTCACTGGAGATGGGAAGGTCGAGGGTTCAAATCCAGACATGGCACTAATATCCTTTGGCAAGATATGTACCTGCACTTGCTAATCTCCACCCAGGTGTTAAATGGGTACCTGGTAGGATGCGAAAATTCATGTGGTTGGATGAGCAAGTGTGCGCTTGTAAAATGGTGACTGGCTGGAATGTTCCCCAGGGAGTGAGAATGTGCATACATTGTGTGTGGGTGAGCCTGAATCCGATGACCGGGGTAATAATATATCTATAAAGCGCTGAGGCACATTGTTGGATCAATGTATTGGGCGCTATATAAAATGCGGAATATTATATTATATTATTTTTATCTACTCTTTTCTCCCAGAATCCACAATGAAAGTCAAGAAACAGAGTGCAAAGCAGCGTGCTGCACTAATAAGACAACGGATGCAAAGTTCAAGGATTGCAGGAGGTTCATCAAAGACTCTTGTCGCCAAAGCAGACTACCACCAAGGGCATATCATTTTTGGAGTTGCAGCAGGGCGACAATGTACATGCAATGTACTTCAATTTCTAGTGACTGCTCAAGACACTAATCCAACAACTTGGAGTAAAAGTGATGTGAACTGTATTCTTCATAGGGGTGCAAATACTTACCAAAATGAAATTATGAAAAGGAAATCAAGTGAAATCTACTTCATGATTAACGAGCTACCAGAATATGTTAGACTTCACCATGTTACTTACAAAGTAAGAATAGCAGATCCACTCGCCGGAAATTTAGTTCACACAGAGTCATTTCCAGATAATGGACAATACTGTCTCTCTGATGCAATACTACAAGGTTCTGTGAAACATCCATGTCTGTTCATCACCATTGGCTCAAAGACACCATGTTCTACAATCGGACTACTACATGCTGGAGAGAAATACTTCTTCTTTGACAGCCACAGCAGAGATGATGAAGGGTTAAGACATTCAAATGGCTCTGCAGTTGTCCTTTCATTTTCAAGAATTGAGGAAGTGGTGAGACACACACATGAGTTGGCAGCAAGTATTGGTCTAGCACAGGATATGTTTGAAGTGACTCCAGCGATTGTATCATCATGTTTGCCATCAAAGCCCTCATGTTCAAAGAACACCCTGTTTGACTATTTTTGTGATCAATCAAACAAACAGGAAACCTTGAAATCACAAGACAAAAAACAAACAGTCCAGCAAAAGCAAACCCAATCTACCAAAAAGGGTCCCTTGAAGACAGCAAAGAAGAAGAAAATCAAGACTAAGGAAAAGGAAAAGCTACGAAAGGCATTCTATCGCATGAAGCTATCTGAGGAAGCAAAAATAATGACAAAGGGTAAAGAAAAAGGGCGAATGCTTACTTTGAGGTCGAGGAAAACTGCTGTTCAAAAACAAGAAGAAGCTGAGAAAGAAAGGAAACGGATAGCATCTCTACGCAAGAAACTAATAATGGAAACTCCTGCTGGGGTGAAGGAAAGAGAAGCTGAGAAAGAAAGGAAACGGATAGCATCTCTACGCCAGAAAATAAGAATGGAAAGTCCTGCTGGGGTAAAGGAAAGAAAAGCTGAGAAAGAAAGGAAACAGAAGGCATCTCTACGCAAAAAACTAATAATGGAAACTCCTGCTGAGGTAAAGGAAAGAGAGGCTGAGAAAGAAAGGAAACGGATAGCATCTCTACGCAAGAAAATGAGAACGAAAACTCCTGCTGGGGTAAAGGAAAGAGAAGCTGAGAAAGAAAGGAAACGGATAGCATCTCTACGCAAGAAACTAATAATGGAAACTCCTGCTGGGGTGAAGGAAAGAGAAGCTGAGAAAGAAAGGAAACGGATAGCATCTCTACGCCAGAAAATAAGAACGGAAAGTCCTGCTGGGGTAAAGGAAAGAAAAGCTGAGAAAGAAAGGAAACAGAAGGCATCTCTACGCAAAAAACTAATAATGGAAACTCCTGCTGAGGTAAAGGAAAGAGAGGCTGAGAAAGAAAGGAAACGGATAGCATCTCTACGCAAGAAAATGAGAACGAATACTCCTGCTGGGGTAAAGGAAAGAGAAGCTGAGAAAGAAAGGAAACGGATAGCATCTCTACGCAACAAAATAAGAACGAAAAGTCCTGCTTGGGTAAAGGAAAGAAAAGCTGAGAAAGAAAGGAAACAGAAGGCATCTCTACGCAATAATCAATCAAATGAAGTAAAACAACAGAATGATGAAAAAGAGAGGAGGAAAAAACTTCTTCACCGAAGATCTTTGCCGGATGAGGTTAAAGAAGTGCAAATTGAGGCAGATAGACTAAGAAAACAATCTGTTCGAAAAAGGACAACTCGTCATGAGAAACGAACACTTCAAGTAAATGACAATATTCGAAAGAAACAAGCACGTCATCCCTCAACAATAGAGAAAATAGTCTCCACTTTTCTGATGCACAAGAATGAAGCTCCAGTGTATGTGTGTACAAGCTGCCATAGACAAATGTACAGGCAATCAGTCTTCAGTTTCCGACAAAGTTCATACAAGGCTAGTATTAACTTCCTGGAAAAATGCACAACTAAGTACACAAGTTTCGCTGGACTTGAATGGATATGCAAGACTTGTAATAACTACTTAAAGAAAGAGAAGGTACCTCCACAGTGTGTGTCCAATAAACTTGAAGTGGCTGATGTACCAGATGAACTAAAAGATCTCACAGAGCTTGAGGCAAGACTCCTAGCTCAACGATATCCATTCATGAAGATACTGGCACTTCCGAGAGGAAAACAGGCCGGAATAAAGGGTGCTGTTGTAAATGTCCCTGTGATTGCAGAAAAGGTCTGTAAAAGTCTCCCTCGGACTCCTTCACAAGCTGGTATCATTCCACTCAAGTTGAAACGAAAAATCCAGTACAAGAGTCATGTGGCTTACCAGAACATTCGTCCAGGAATGGTTCAAACTGCTCTTGGAAAATTAAAAACAATCAACAAATTCTACTTAGCAACAGTGGAAAATAGTGAATGGGAGGAACAATGTCTAAATGAAGATCCTGAGATATGGAAGGAACTTACAGAAGCAGTGACGGACAAGAATATTGGTGATACGGAAATCAGAGATCTTGACGAGGGAAGGTCAAGACCAGCAGGAGAAAATGATGACAAAAATCAAAATGAAGAAATAGACATGGACGAGGAAACTGATCCCAGAGATCGTCTGCGAGGGATCAAATATGACACCTGTGTGCAACCCACTGATCCTACAATGAGCTCAGACAGCATCTACAGCATCGCACCTGGAGAGGGGAGAAAACCAATATCTATCATGATGGATGAACACTGCGAGGAGCAAGCATTTCCTACATTATTTCCAACTGGACAGTTTGGGTTTCAAGTAAACAGATGCACTAAACTATCTGCCAAAAAGTATTTCAATGCAAGACTTTTGAACAAGGATTCAAGATTCGCTAGAAATGTAGAATATCTCTTCTTCGCACAGTTCATCACAGAGTACAAACAAGTAATGGACAACATTTCTGTTGCTCTACGCAAGGCAAGAATCAGCACAGATGATGGAGAAAGGGTAACAGCTGGACTAATTAAAGATCCTCAAAGACTGAATAGAATCATCTTCAATGATAAGGCCTACAACATGCTGCAAACTGTCCGAGGCTCACCTCCATACTGGCAAAGTGTCATGTTCAAGATACTGGCTGGAGTGAAACAGCTAGGACTTTTCACTTGGTTCCTTACCCTTTCTGCAGCAGACCTCAGATGGACAGACACACTCCAAGCCATTGCTCTTCAGCAGGGACAGCGATTGTCAGATGATGATATCACCAACATGTCATGGGAAGACAAATGCAAGCTTCTTGGATCCAATCCAGTAACAGCAGCAAGGCATTTTGACCACAGACTACAATGTTTGTTCAGAGATGTTATTCTGTCTGACGTGAATCCACTTGGCAAGGTGAAAAACTACATGTATCGCATTGAATTCCAACAGAGAGGTTCCCCTCATGCTCACTGTGTGCTGTGGGTAGATCAAGCACCACGACATGATGACACCGAAGAGAATGTGACGGAGTTCATTGATCAGTATGTCACCTGTGAACTTCCTTCTGATGATGATGATGAGCTGATGCATACTCTAGTGTCTACTCTGCAAAGGCACTCACACTCTGCATCATGCCGCAAAACTGGGAAGAGCTGTAGATTTCATTACCCAAGGCCAATGGCTTCTAAGACAGTGGTGGCAGACACACCTTCTGATGAGGATCCAAAAGAGAAACAAAGAATTGTCAAATCTTCAACAGAGATACTGAACAAAGTAAGAGATGCATTAGAAGTAGAATGCAGTGACAAAAGCACAGTGCAAGAATTACTTCATCAGGTGAACATTTCTGAAATTGACTACAACAAAGCTCTTGGTGTCAACTTGAAAGGAAAATCCATCGTGTACAGAAGACAACCTCAAGAAGTCAATATCAACTCATACAACCCAGTCGTCTTGAAAGCATGGCAGGCCAATATGGATCTTCAATTTGTCTGCAATCCATATGCCTGCATTCACTACATCATTTCCTATGTGACAAAGGATGAACGAGAAATGGGACAGGCGCTGAAAGAAGTAAGCAAATCCTATAAGGACTCAGACATCAAGCACAGAATGAAGGAAGTAGCATCCTGTTTTCTTAATGCCAGAGAAGTCAGTGCACAAGAAGCTGTTTACAGAGTGCTTGGTCTGCCACTTCATCGTTCCACTTTCCAGACAGTTTTCATCCAAACAGATCTTCCAGAAAACAGAGTTGTCTTCTTGAAACCCAAAAGTATTTTGGAGAATCTCGACGAAGAAAGTGAGGATGTGTATGCCCAAACCATGCCTCAAAAATATGCACATCGGCCATTGATTCTGGAGCAGATGACTCTTGCAGAATTCATCAGTTGGTATGTTTCTTCATACAATACGGTTCAGGAAGAACCACAAGAATCAGCAGAATTTCACCCTGATCTTCTTGAATCGAGTGCAGCAAAGGCAACACCTATCAAGTTACTGGATGGCAAGGGCTATATGATGAAACGCAAGAAACCACGCATTATCAGATACCACAAGTTCAATGAAACACAAGAGGAAGAAAAATACTGTCACCACATGCTAATGCTCTACCATCCATGGAGAAGAGAAGAACTTGATCTAAAGAATGGCCATGGGACGTATGCTGAGCATTATCACTCCATCTCCCAAGACATCTTGTCAAAGCGATCCAGTCTGGAGTCGTTCACTGAAATAATCGAGCATGCTATTGAAGAGCATGAACAATTAGGACCACCAGAACATGCCTGGGATACTCTCGATACAGCAGCTCAGCAGGAAAATGCAGAATCCCAGACAGATCCTCCTCAAGACCACCCCGATCATAGTTTCCTTCAACCAAGCTCTGATCAGACAGTAACTGACGTTCAGGAGTCATGTATTGGTACTACCATTCCACTAGCCATTGAACACAGGCCAAACTACCTTTCTGATGAACAGTACAGGAACAGTGTGCTAACTCTAAACACTGGGCAGTACAAAGTGTTTTCATACATCAATAACTGGTGCGTGGATTTGGTGAAAAGCCGCAAGACACACGTTGATCTACAGCCAGTGCAGCTTTGTGTAACAGGAGGTGCAGGAACAGGCAAATCACATCTCATATCTACCATTTACCAGATGGCTATTCGTACGTTGAAACATGAAGGAAGTAATCCAGAAGCAGTGAGAGTGCTACTGACTGCACCAACTGGTACTGCAGCATTCAACATCCAAGCAAGCACCCTGCACTCAACATTTCTCCTACCACTGGGCCAGACCAAAGTCTACAAAAAACTGAGTGATCAAAAGAGGAATACCCTACGCTGCAAACTTGCTGATTTGGATATCTTAATCATAGATGAAATATCCATGGTAGGGTGCGATCTTCTTATGACTGTGGACCAGCGCCTTCGAGAAATTAAAGGCGTCAACAAAATCTTTGGTGGCATATCCGTTCTGGCATTTGGGGATCTGTACCAGCTTGCACCAGTTTGTCAGAAATTTGTGTTTGAAGATGCTGCAGATCTATTTGCAAGATTGGCTGGCTCCCTTTGGCAAGACAACTTTCAGTTTGCTGAACTTGATGAAATCATGAGGCAAAAAGATGACAGAGCCTTTGCAGAACTTCTGAACAGAATCAGAGAAGGAGAGCAAACACAGGAAGATATGACTACCCTAGAACAATGCATCATATCACCGAGCGATGACAACTATCCTTCAGATGCACTGCATGTATTTGCTACAAATGCAAGAGTCAATGAATACAACACAGAGAAACTAAGCAAGGTAGAGGGTCCAATCAGACAATGTGTAGCGGTAGACAAGAAGCCTAGTTGTCTCAAGAGTCATGTCACAAGTACAGATGCTAGATTCACAGGTGGATTGCCACATGTCTTGGAATTAAAAGTTGGTTCTAGAGTGATGCTCACCAGAAATATGGATGTCACAGACGGACTTGTTAATGGTGCACTTGGGACAGTTGTTGATTTTGTTGAATGCAATCCACCAGCAAGCAATCCAAAGGCAGTCCTGATCCAGTTTGATAACCCTACAGTTGGTTCAGCATTGCGATCGTCAATTCACTATGGCACATCACAACACACTACAGCAGTACCAATCCAGCGAATTGATGTTAAGTTCTCAATCTCTGCAAAGAAACAAGGCTTGGAAGTAACAAGGTGCCAGTTCCCCCTGCGACTCTGTTGGGCAACTACCATTCACAAAGTCCAAGGACTCACTGTAACAGATATAGTTGTTTCAATGAAGAGCAGATTCGCAGATGGTCAATGTTATGTGGCTCTAAGCAGAGTCCCAAAACGTTCAGGTCTCCATCTCCTGGATCTGCATGAAAGCAAAATCAGAGCAAGTACTGCAGTGAAGGCTGAAATGGAACGAATGCGCACAGATATGCTGTTACAAACAACATATGATGACATCTCTGCAGCACTCACAGACAGGAGCCAACCTGTGCTAATAGCAGTTCAAAACGTCAGGTCACTACCTGCCCATCATGAAGACTTAAAAAAGATGCCTGGCCTTGAAAACTGCATTGCAATTTCTATAACAGAAACATGGCTAACTTCAAAACACAGACAAAGCAACTTTGATCTTCAAAACTTTGATCAGCTGAGGAAAGACAGATTTTCATCAAATCCTGGAGGAGGGCTGTGTATGTTCATCAGATCATCTTCAACATACAATCTGCATGCGATGGAATGTTACATGCCTCAACTGGAGATCCAAAGTGCAATCATCAAGCCCCTGACCCACCCTCCATTTCTCTTGGTGAATGTCTACAGAAATCCCAAGTCAAGTATGAATCAATTCACAAAAGCCTTCTGTCATCTCTTGGAATTAGCTGATGCAACCCGCCTGCCATCATTTATAGTTGGTGATTTCAACATCAATCTCCTCACATCCAAGCACAGCCATGCAGTACAACGGCAAATGCAATGTTGCAGTTTCCACCAGGATGTCAAGAAACCAACTCACATCAGTGGCTCACTACTAGACCATGTCTACTCCAATACCCCTACCAACATCTGGCAGAGTGCAACACATTACAGTGATCATGATGTTATCTGGATTCTTGCCAGTTTTTGAACAAATGGTAAATCTATCTATGATCTCTTTAAAATGTATGTTATGCAAATATATTTAATATTCACTTTTGACAATACAACTGGGCCTGTTACATAAAACTTACCATTGATGGTAACTTTGCGGTCAATGGGAATTACCATGGTAACAACTAGGGCTCAACAGCCTATCAAAATCAAGGTTTCCAGACCCAGGTCTGTTACTAATAGACAAAGATTTTAGCTATTATTTCTTGAGATATTAAGAAAAAGACCATTTGAACAATTCAATTCGTCTGATTAAAAAAATATTCTCTTTTTAATAAGTATTTGGTGCAAAAAAATGTAAGCTCACTTTATATCTCACCTTTCTCCTCAACACATTCCATGTTATACAAATATGTCTTGATTTATTGTGAAAGTAGACAATTTACAGAATTATTAATGTGACCATTGACCTTATTTCCAGCCTTTACAGTTGGCGATCTCCAAATCAGCCTCTTCACTCAAAGCATAGCCATGCCGTACAATAGAAGATGCAACGGATCAGTTTCCACCAGGATGTCAACTAGGAACCAACACACATTAGATGCTCACTACTGGTCCATGTGTACTCAAACAAATTACAGTGATTTCATCTGGATTTGTGCCAGTTTCTGAAGTCAAAATGGTAAGTCTATAACCCTCTCAGTGCCAAATTCCCCATTACATAAAGAAGGTCTGTGTGGTAAGAGGTCTGGATGTCTATACCTAATGGTAGAAGCAAAATAGAATATCTATATGTATCAATTGAAAGAGTGATCTCTCCTCTATAATGGCACATACCATACCCAAGGTTCATAATTTTACCTTGGGGTTATGTGTGCATGTCAATACAAGTTCTATGAGGGCTCTCCGGTTAAGATTTTAAAGAGTAAAAACATTTGTATGAGGGGCCTCTGATGACACAAATGAAACATTATGATTCAATATTAGAACAGATACATGTCAGCCAGCACTTAAAGGGCAAGTCCTCTTTAAAATAACTTGCTTTCAATAGAAGCAGAAAAATCAGACAATTAAAAACCAATTAAAAAAAAAGATTGAGTAAAATCAAACTAATAAGTTATGAATATTTAATGACATAAAAAACTTTAAAAATCACAAGACAAATTGGCAACTCACTCATGAGTCGTTGACGTTATTGTCTCACTATCCACTAAGTGTGTTCTTTATATTGATAATATAAATTTCCAATTTTCCCCCTAAAAATCTTATTTCCTCACACCAGCATCCAAGTTATATTGATAGTAATATGTTTTTGTGTGGACGCACTAATATAGACTAATTTTTTTTTCAGTTAAATCATGAAAAATGTGAATTTTGATAATCTATTTATGTAAAAATCAATGATTATGAATATACAATATTCAGAAAATAGTAACAGTTCTTCAAAGTTCATAACAGTTATTGTGAAATGTCATGTACGCTATATGATACAAATCATATAACCTGAGAGAGGCATAGGGAAATCAGGCTTTTTAGGATAAAAAGGGAAATTGATCGGATAAAGGTATATAAAGCATTTGATAAATAGTGAGGCAATGACATCACAAACTGATAACCAAATTGGCAATTTGTGTAGTGACTTTCTAAGTTCCATAATTTTTCATACTTCATTGCAAAAATTTCATAACTTCCTAATAAGTTATTCGATTTTACTCTAATCTTTTTGCTCTGTTATATCTTTTGGTTTTTCTGCATCTATTAAAAGCAAATTATTTTCATCAATCGGTTCTTTAACGTGATCACAAGCTTTTTTTGCATAACATAATAAGCCCTGTGAACTTTGACCTCGTGACACCAAAATCAAATCAGTTCATGACATTGGCTCCGCAAGCTACATACATGGTTAAAGTTTGGGGGTCATCGATCAATTGGTTCTTGAGATAATGCGATCACAAGCTTTTTTTGCATACATAATAAGCCCTGTGAACTTCGACCTTTGACCTTGTGACCCCAAACTCTAATCAGTTCATTGGCTCTGCAAGATATTTACATGACTTAAGTTTGGGGGTAATCCATCAACTGGTTCTTGAGATAATGCGATCACGAGCTATTTTTGCATACATAATAAGCCCTGTGAACTTTGACCTTCGACCTCGTGACCCCAAACTCTAATCAGTTCATTGGCTCTGCAAGATACATACATGACTTAAGTTTAGCGGTAATCCATCAATTAGTTCTTGAGATAATGCGATCACAAACTATTTTTGCATACATAATAAGCCCTGTGAAATTTGACCTTTGACCTCATGACCCCAAAATCTAATCAGTTCATTGGCTCTGCAAGATACATACATGACCTAACTTTGGCGGTAATCCATCGATTAGTTCTTGAGATAATGCGATCACAAACTATTTTTGCATACATAATAAGTCCTGTAAACTTTGACCTTTGACCTCGTGACCCCAAAATCTAATCAGTTCATTGGCTTTGCAAGATACATACATGACCTAAGTTTGGCGGTAATCCATCACTTGGTTCTTGAGATAATGCGATCACAAGAACGGGACGTACGTACGTACAGACGTACGTACGTACAGACGTACGTACAGACGGACGGACGGACAACCAGAAAACATAATGCCTCCGGCTACTTTGTAGCGGAGGCATAAAAATGAAAGTCATAGAATTAAATGACTGCCAGGTCAGTGATGTTTCTATTATCTCTAATGACCAAATTTTCAGGTTGAGAAACTACTGATTGGGAAGAGTACAATATATGAGTTTGACTAAGCATACAGATCACACATTTAACTTTACACATCCAAGTATTGTGCTTTTCACATTTCTTGCAGATTGAATCGAAAAGATGGGTCACAGTTGTATTTGAATTTCTATTCCTCCTTAATACTACTCACCTTTAGTTCTTGTTCTAGAGCATCTTCAAGCTGATCGTTGAGTTCTTCCTTCTGTTTCATGGTCTCAACTTTCATCTCTTGTTCTAGCTGCCTCAAAGCTTGCTTCTGACGATTACTCTCCAGAATCTTAGTCATCAACTGCAGAGCTCCGCTGTGTGGATAATATTAACAGATTTATTTACAAGTCCTGTTCACAAATGGAAATGCACAGCATAGGTACAGGTTGATAAATTACGGATTGACATTAAAAAATGAGTGCAGGGAAACTGTTGAGATAGGATACTCACAGGTTTGTAAAACCTATTATCATACCTAAACATTCAAGGCAAAAATAACATAAAAGTTTGTACACTAGTGAAATTAAGAGCGCTTTGTTGACATGTGCAACCTAGAATAAACTTGGCAACAACTACAAAAAAATACAAGAAATCTGCAGTTACATTAATTTGCAATGCTATGTCCACAGTTTGACACCAGATGGAGATATAATTTCAGATTCTGAGTTATGGAATACTGCTTAATATGTGCATGATAAGAACACCAAGCAATTGAAAACCTCAATGACACTTATGACAAAGCATCTGAACAATGATTGGCTAAATCTCCCATGTATTGCTGAGAATAAAGGAGAAATCTCAAATCTCTTTTCATAGGTAAGTTTCTTATGCAGAACCGGTTAGTCAGGATTTGTTAGAAACCCAGATATTTGGATATTATACTACAACTATTGACAGATTGTCAGCATCATTTCACAGCATTATTGTTTTATAACACAAACATTTTCAGGGAATTCAAAAGAGAGCAATGATTAGTAAGCCTTGTGATTTTATTAGTCAGCATATGAGAGCATTTAATTGGCTGCAAGGTTTGATGATATGTATGAACGTTGAGAATTGCTTTAATACAAAAATAAAACCCAATGTTATAATTTACAAAAGCATTGATAATACACTATCAGTTTATAATTATCTATGCAGATTGCAGAATGTGAATTGGCAGCATAAGACAAAATTACTTGAAAAGCAAAAATGAAATAATGGAAGAAAATAAGTAATATTGATGGGCAAGTTCAAGATATTTAGTCATTTGGTATCTCTTACGTTACTAAGTATTGTAGAGTCTGATCATAAATTGACATCAAATGAGTCACTTCATATTTGGTCTGATGTATACTCTAGAATGGTTATTGACCTCATACAATGATCAGATATCCTCAAATCTGAGATGAAGTTGGTAAACATACGGGACAAAATAGCTTGGACTTGCCCTGAGAACAATTAATGCAAGAATGTGCATGGTAGTATATGCAAGACTTACGCTGATGTTTGATGGCTGGATTAATCATGTGATAGCATGGGTTCACATGGTCAGGTGATATAGGGAGGGATCAGGTGATTGGTGTGGTTAGGTCACATGACATGAGTGTGCATTGGTGCAAAAATAAAGAAAACAAAAGCATTAGGATAGAACCCAGAACCATTAAAAAAACAGAAAATAATACATAAATACATGGTATTTCATATGATATATATCTATATATATATATATATATATATATATATATATATATATATATATATAAGAATATATATTAAAGGTAAAGACCAGTTTTAAAAACGCCCCCTCTCAAAAAATGAAATGGAAGCTCTTATCACCAATCATGTGAAAGAATATGTTTTGACTAATACGCGATCATACAAATTTTGCAGAGAAACCGCCTACCAATTGATATATTTGGTAAATTATTATATCTATTTGGACCAGATAGATATAACACATGTGTCACGCACGTGTGGGGGTAGTCCCATATACATCTTTCTGTGTAAAGTACTTGTAGCTTAATCAAGATTGGGCTAAAAAAAAATTCTGATCGATTGCACAACGTTTCTTTCACAATGCAATCACATGACCATAACTGGTCTTTATCTAGAACACTCAGTATCAAATGAATGATGCTGTATTTAAAGCAAGACATAATTATGATTAGATTCACTTTCAGCATATCTTTCTCCATCATTTGCATAAAATGATTGGGAGTCTAATCCTGATGCAGTAAGATATTTTACAAGTATTTCTCAGAATAGTTACTTTCGGAAAAGGTATAATATGGAATCTTTAAATTGGCAACACAAAATGATTGTAATACTTACGAGCTAGTCTCCCTGCGACGGTCATTTGAAGGCTTGTTGGCTTCTTTCTTTAGCTCCTCGGCAAGAGTCCTAGAATTGAAAATTATTAAAAAAACATGTATTACATTTTGCAATGATATGCTGTGTTTAAAAATTGGTTGCCTTGCAAAATCAATCAATATCGATGGATATTGTTTGCTGAAACAGGAAAATTCAATAAAATACTTTGGCTTTAAATGAATGAATACATTATATTACTGATGTTGGAATTTGGATTTTCACAACATATATTAAGACCCTGGTATCCTCAAAAATTGACATTAGAATCGATCATAAAAATCAATTGTATCTCCAATATTAGTTGCTGCAATTCACTGTACCTTACCATTCATTTTGTGTATTTGTAATACACAATTGAATGTAAGTCACTCATTATTGTAAAGTTATGATTGACTGAATTATGAAGTTGATAAAAGTAGTTGTAGGGAGATACAATTAATTTTATTATTTGTTATGTTACAGGGTCCAGATGTGATTATTGACATCTGTGAACGAACCTTCAATGCCACTATATCAAAGAGACATGATTCAGGATCAGACCCGAGTCAATATATAGTTATAAACATGTGCGGTACTTGTCCAAACACACTTTGTCAGTGATATGCCCTGTACAAGCATTGTATCTTATAAGATGATGATGTGGATCCCAATCAAATGATTGGTTGAGAACGTACATGTGACCAGGCATTTATTTTGCCTAATACATATTTTGCTAATGACCGGTCATTAGTAAAATCATGTTATAAAACATCTTTCATCAAAACAAATAAAACATCATCTTATAAAACAAATAATACACATCATTTTGTTCGGGCATTAGTAAAATTACACTCGGTACCTTGTGTGGGTAATTCTTACAAATGCCCGCACTGCTGTGTATTAGTTGTATCATAATGACTGCTTACTTTTCTCTCATGAGTTTAATAGTCTCCATCTTATGTTGAAGCTGGTCCTCCTGGTGCGCCCTCGCTTGGCGAAGCTTCTCTTCAATGTCTTCAATCTCCTGCATGTGAGCCGCCATGATGCGCTCTGTCTTCCGTTCTGACACCACGTTGGTATCAGCGATGGAATCAACAAGCTGATCCTGTGGAAGAGAGCGGGTAGTTTGGGTTAGGAATGCAACTAATATGACTATGACAAAAAGTCATGGGTCACCACAAGTTTCTTGATTTAAAACTAAGTCAATGCATGCTCTTTTGTAAGGATTAATCCCTAATTACTCAATCTTTTGGATAAGACTTCACATTATAGCTGAAGATGGGTGCTACAGGCATAAATGTGCTTCCTTAGCAGTTGGGTACAATAAACGACGGCAAGAACAACAACAAAATAATGATAGTAATAATATTCAGCTTTTATACAGCGCTTCATACATCTCGGACATCTCTAAGCGCTTTACAGATACACTATTACCTCGGTCATTGGATTCAGTGCTTGCCCGTACACAATGTGTGCACAATCTTCAATCCCTGGGGGCATTCCAGCCCGGCGTTACTTGACGCTCAAAAACTGTTTGACCAACAATGACGGTCGCATCCTACCGGGTACCCATTTAACACCTGGGTGGAGAGTAGCAAGTGTAGGTTAATATCTTCCCAAAGGATATAAGTGCTGTGTCAGGATTTGAACCCTCGACCTTCGCATCTCCAGTCAGGCGCCTTAAACCACTCGACCACAACACTCACAGGATCAACCAAGAGATACTTACTTGGAGATCTTTGACAGCTCTATCCAGCTTCTTGATGACTCCTTGTCTCCTGGCTTGCCCGGCCTGGAGCTTGCCAATCAGGATACCCATCTTAGCATCCTGCTCCTTCAACACCTCCTCAGTCTCGTGAGCAAGCTGCTTCCTGAGAGCCAAGATGGCTGCCTGCTGCTCCTCTCTCATGGATTGTTCTTCAACCGCTAGCTCCTCAGCCTGATAACAAATGATTGGAAGGTTCATTGAGTGATCAATCGGTTCATTGGTTGGTTAACTGATTAATTGATAGGTTGATTCAAAACAAAAGATGAATTAAGATCCTGTTTTCTGAGAGCCAAGATGGCTGCCTGCTGCTCCTCTCTCATGGCTTGCTCTTCAGTCGCGAGCTCCTCAGCCTGATAACAAATGATTGAAAAGGATTCATTGACTGATTAATTGGTTCATTGGGTGCATGGTTAACTGATCAATTGATAGGTTGATTAAAAACAGAAGAAGAACTTAGATTACATGTTTGGGATAGAGTTGATGTAATTCAGTAGATTCAAAGCTATCTGACAAGCAATAACTCCAAGACATCTCTAACACAGTTTTATTCATTTCTAGAAAAATAATTTACACAACTAGTATAGGATGGGCTATAAGAGCATATATATTATAACCTGTGTCACTTTACTATTACTTTCACAGATAACAAATGAGAATGTTTATCTTCCCATACTCCTCTTTACCTCAGTTGCTTATGATTATTACCTGTTTTGTTGTGAGTTCACCCTCTTCTTCATCATCCTCTCCTCTTGCTAGCCTCTCTTGTGAATGCTCTGCCTTTATGGATTCATAGCGAGCTCTTCTCTTGGCCAGCTTTGCTTCAAGCCTGCAATGATATGACAGATAGGAAAAAACAATCTATGTGTTATCTAGTGTACAGCTCTCTTGTGAACTAAGCAAAATGTAACAAAAACAAAATACGAAATCTCAAACTACTAGAACACTCTTTTCTTTCCAAGAAATCAAATGATATAACATTTTTTGGATTTTTTTTTTACCACAAACTAGAAAATGTATACTATTATATTTGGTCATGATTTTACATATGTGCTTACCACCATTTCCTGGCAGTACACAAAGGCCACTACTACAGATTTTAGTTATGTACCAATGGAATCAAACCAAATACATGTAATTTTTTTGAAGGACATTCTTTTCAATAAACTTCATCAGAATACCATGCCTTGGACTGAGAAATGGATTTAATTATTTCATTGGTCTGCTACTTTGAGGAACTTTTTATAATCTTTTAGCTTTTCATGTACTTACAGCTTTTGTTGTTTGAGTTTGGTCATCTGTAGATGGTTATTGAGAGCTGAGACGTTCTGCTCATGTTGAAGCATAATCTGTCTCTTTGACCTGGAATAAAAAATTCAAATAAATTCTAATTACAACACTGTCTACTGGAAGCTATATAATTTTTGACAACTCTATATTATCTATAAGCTCACAGATAAATGTAGGAAAGTATATCATCTTCCTTAGCCACCGCTAGGCATAATTATCCCATTGATGTACGCTTATGAAAATACGTAACTTAATTCAACCTTTTAATATTTTTCCCATGGTTGAATTCTTAATACAGAATATAGATGAATCAAGGCACTTTACTAAGCTATGCACAATAATAGGTGTTCATCTATTGCCCCTGGGGAATATTTTACAACCACTGCTCTCATCACATTTATACAGCTGAGCAACAACAACGCAGCAATACGCACAATTTACTACAATCCTTCATCCTTATTTCTTTTTAGAACACAGTATAGGCTTTCGACAATTGGACATTATTTTTGATGCTCCTCCGGAAAATTTTTTAAAAAATTGAGAAATTTTAAAAATAGATTTTTTATGACGTCACACTTCACCACTCTATAGTCTTTTACACGACGACACCAATGCTAGCATTACAATAATTAATCTATTAAATAAATGAAATGTTGGCTCACTCTTCATCTAGAGTTGACTGTGTATCAATCAGCTTTGTAATAGTTCGTTCTTGCTGTTCAGCTAACTGCTGCTGCTCAGCCGCGGCTCGTCTCTGTTCCTCTTCCCATGATGCTTTGCGTAATTCAATCTTCTCCTGTAGCAGCATGTTCTGACGTTTCTTCTCCTGATCAAGTTGCTCTGTAAAGGAAGGGATGATCAGTAATTGTTAGAGAGACTGAATAGCTTCACATGGAAATAGGGATAAGGGAAGGGAGTTAATAGAAATAACAAAATATGATGGGGGTTAGGGAGAAGACAACTCAATTCCTGTATTTTCACAACCATAACAATTACCAAAAACATGCATGCATAGACTTGGGAGAAGTCATAATAACTGCAGATAATAAATGACCAAACCTACAAAGATGATGGCAATGGAACAAGACAAGAATACAGAAGACTCATAATGCAGGAAAACAAAGTTGTGGTGAATTTTAAATTAGTGTAAATAAATGGCACATGGGGAAGAAAAATATAGCTATGAACATCAAAGGTCCTATGCACACTCACTATCTGTATTACAAGATACAGAAATGTGAAGCATATTATGCTTCTGTCATTATTTAAAAATACAAAAAATGCTGCAGTTTAACACATCAAACATGAACATGCAAGCCTGAAGAGTTCTTGCTGCATATACACATACCTTCATAAGCAGTCACATTAGCTTGATGTTTCTTGACGATACGATTAGCTTCCTTCTCATTCAACTGAGCCTTCTCAGCCAGCTCTTCAAACACAGACTTGTCTTTCTCTGCTAACTCATTCCCTCTCTCCTCCTCCAAGGTCTGTAAAGTTAATTCAAACATACAAAACCATCATGAGCAAGAAAAGCTTGATATTGTATTTACAACTTCACATAACATTTTTTAAAAGACTTTGTTCACAGATTCAGATCATATACCTTGCTCATTAATTTAAACTTATAAAGCTTCAGAGGAACTTAGAATGGTTTAAAAGTAGTAAACAACTTTAAATACCGTATTATTGCAAAGTTAACCAGTAAAGTCAATTTAAGGTATGTCTATTGCAAACAGATAGCCTACTAACAGTTCAACTATGATCACACATGATGGCATTGTAAGGCAGAGATAACCATATCCAGAGTCAAATGCAATTCAAGATCATCCTCGATTCCATAGAGAACCAGCATACCTTTCTGAGTAGACTCAATTCTTCTGCTTCGTGGTAGTCAAGCTCATCTATCAAATCATTCTTCTCATTACGCTGCTGCTCAAGAAGGTCATGATGAGCCTGGTGAGGTAAGAAGGAAGGAAACATGTATACTTGAGCAATGAATCACAGTGAAGAGAAAAAGAAGAACTGGGCTTAAAATACTTACTATTCATTAAAAATTAAACAATCACACTGTGCAACATTGTATGTACCTTGGCACCATGTATGATCTAATGCAAGTTAACATTTAATATTTCTTTAATCTTAAGTATGTTGAATATTAATTCAAACTATTTGTATGCGCCTTAAACATCTCTAGAGATGGATATGTTGCGCTTTATAAATATTGTTATTATTATTATTATTATTATTACATTATTTATTAGTTAATAATAATATCCTAGGGAAAGAAAGATTGTTAATAATTCAGGAGGGAATTCTATCTCATCATTACTCTATTAATGAATTATTGAAGAGTCTATATTGACCAAGATAAAGTTGACTTCAAGTAATGTTGTATATTAAATCATAAGCACATACTGAACAACCACCTTAAGCATATCCCCATCTCTGCTGTATATACCTCCACAAAATCTGTTGGATTGACAACTTGTGGAGCCTTGTCTGCTAGTTTTTCTCTCTCTCTCTCTCTTTCACCCAATATCTTCTCCAATACACCCTTCCCCCTATCAACCATACCCCCTCACCCCCTCCCCCCCCCACCCATGTGTGTTGCCCTTGCTGTATATACCTCTACAAAGTCTGTTGGATTGACAACTTGTGGGGCCTTGGCTGCTAGTTTCTCTCTCTTCTCTTCCTGCTTCTTTTCTAATGCTCTCAGCTTCCTCTCCCGGTGTTGCTGCAGCTTCTCAGCTAGCTCTTGACTTTGTTTTGATACAGCTAAGGAGAGAAAATAAATCAAACAAACAAATAAGATCTCTACTTTACTGATTGTTTGATCAAATCACAATTCGTTGTAGGCAAGAACACTCCATATACGTTTGCTTGCTTGATGTGAACACTGGTAGCAAACAGTTCCACCCTAATACATGAACAGATGGTAGATTGAAGAGTTGCTTAATTTAATAACTGTTAACCTTCTCTAAAATAATTAAATAGATATTGGATGACACTTTCTTTCATCATGTATTGCCGATTTCCACTTCTCAGTTTAGAAATACTTTTTATACATTTCACAACTTTATTTGTAAAAATAGTCAAATTTGTGACTAAAAACATGACAAAAAGCAAAAAATGTTTAATTTTCTGTCTCAAGTTTCTTACCTGCTTTGTGATTTTCCTGAATCTTTTCTACATCAGCCTGGTATTGTTTAATAATGCTGTGAAGAAAATATGGCAAAAATAAATGACAGAGGGGGGTAAAAATCAAATAATATTCTTTGTAAGAAGAGTTTTCTCATTTATATATTCCTCCCACTTTAAGTTGAGGTCTAGCTTTCAAAACTGCAAATCCTATTTTTCTTTCCAGTATTTAGCTTAATTAATTCATCTTTATACTAAAAAAAAACATATCTCCCCAACAAGCAAGCTCGAGGTAGATACATTATGTGTAAAACATTTAATTTAGTCCTCTTTGTGTACCATTAATCACTTACGGTAGGTAAATCTCAAAATTAAACAACCCTCAAACCTCTAATCACTCCTACTCATCAATCAAAGATGAAATACAAATAGCTGCTATCTGATCCTCTGTTTTATTTACCTTTTTGCTTGAGATTGGTTGAGTTCTCTTTCTTCAGCCAGGTATTTAGCGATTTCATTCAAGCTCTTATTCCTCGTTTGGTTGCCCTTGCTCTCTCTTGATGTAACCTGAGCATACTGTTCAGACAGTGCTTGGCGTTTAGACAGTCTCTCATTTAATATCTAGAGTTAGAAAGAAAGGGAAGTACGATTATTAGTTATAGACAAAGAGTATGATTACATTTAGTTGAATTCACTATGTCATCATTGGTCAATGTAACATTCAATGAACAATGGATCGTAAACTTGTATTGAACATACATCTGTGGCTTAATCCCAAGACACCGACTTCTGATTGGTCGTTGAGAGCTACATGTATTAATCTTATTCTTACACTTTTCATCTGCACATTTTACGAATAAGGGGAAGCCTTGGCTCATGTTATCAACAATATTTGTGTCACATTTCTTTTCATCAGAACATGTCCCTCCAAGGTCAAAGGTTAAACTAACATGACTTATTTCACAGGATCTTAAAATTGCTTGTCTATTTTGCTTCTGACAAACCTGTCAGAGGTCAAAGGTTACACACACACACACTATCTGAAAGCTGCAATTCTTACCGTAGCTTGTCTATTCTGCTCCTGACCGATCATCCTCTCTGCGGCAGCCATGTTTTCTAACAGCTTCTTCATGATGGCTTCCACCTACAGATGAAGAGAGTGCAAATTAGAAACAATTATTACAACTGGGAACATTGTTAAATGGGAAATGCATGTTTCCAGAGCAATCAAATACTTTTTTGATGTTATAATTTTTTTAATTTATTGTGTTAAATATCTTACTCCTGGCACCCCCCTCCCCCCCCCCCCCCAAAAAAAAAAAAAAATGATGAAAGCACCGGACAGTCACAAAGTTCCATTCTCATACTAATATTGCAAAATTGCCCAAGGCACTAGTAGCCTTCTTAAAAATATCAACAAAAGTATTGATAGAAACAGAGAGAGACGCAGATAGACAAACAGAGAGAGAAAGAGAGAGAGAGAGAGAATGAAGCAAATACTGTATAAAATGTCAATAAGTTACCTCTTCAGATGAGAGCCCAGCCTCCCTGCTTAGCTTATCCTTCACTTTTATCTGAGCATCTTGGACTAAACCATCCTGCAATTAAAAAGAAAGATGATCAAAGTAAAATGTAGAATAAAACATGGTTTCATACATTTATTTGCAATTTGTGACAGTGTACTTCACATGCAGCACATGCTAACTTCCATATATTCTCTTAGTGATATGAAATAATCATGACATTGTTTATTGTCATATCTTACAGAACTGCATTCATATGTAGACGTTTCCTTCACAGTAACATATCAATATGAGAGCATGTTTTACAATAAAGCACAGTGGGCTTACCATCTTTCTAATGTAATCCAATCTTGAATTCTCAAGCACTTCTTCCAGGGCGAGAGGATCCTTCATCAGATCTGATCTATTCTTCAAATCTTGCTCCACCATTAACTGAGATGCTTCAAGGGAATCTTTAGCATCACTCAGCTCCTGGGAGGTTCTGTCAATGAAGTCTGCAGCAAACTTTTCATCCATCCTCTCTGCAGTCACAAACCTTCCAAGCAGGATTTGAAGAATATGAACAAACACCTACAAGTAAAAGAGAATTTTACCCAAAAAGGCACATTTACAAATAATGTTGAAGAAAGAACACCCATTTTTTTATTCTTAACTATTCTTAAACAAGTGCCTACTTGAATTGACTTGTCTATGACATCATTTGAAGATTATGAACAAACACCTACAAGTAAAAGGGATTTTTAAATTTTTTTTTTAATAGGATGCGAAAAGCACATTTAAAATTAATATTGAAGAAAAGAACACCCATTTTTTTTTCTTAACCATTCTTAAACAAGTGCCTACTTGAATTGAGTGGTCTAAACATTAAATCTATAGAAGTAACATCATTGAGTAGTCAATAGAATAAGATCAACAAATGACTTGATCAATTAAATATGACAAGACATTCAATTGAATATGACAAGAGGATTCAATAATAATTCTACACTGTTCTATTCACAAAAAATCAACTCCTTGGACGTCTATTTCCCTGTATTCCCCTATTATTAATCCCTTTTATCCAATAAAAGCAACAGAAATAAATAAAGAGATATCCGTATATATACATACATACATATTGATATTCATATAGCACCTTTGCATAAACGTGCTCAAAGCGCTTCACATTAGTAAATAAAACAGAATAATCAATCAAGCGCATACATCATAAATTTGTTGTGTAATATACACCATGAACTGTAAGAGTAAAGCATGCAAAGTATTATATATTCTATGTTTGATTGAAGGTTGATAAGTGACATACCGACTCTCTTTCCTCCAGCAGTTCTCTCTCCATGGACTTGGTTGCTTGAAAGTCTTGAAGGCTAAGCTCTACCATGGTTTTCTCACTGTCAGGAGAAATAGGAATATGTATTCACTCATTGGATACATTATAGAAGATATTGTACAAAAAACAAGCAAATAAACATAAATCTACAAACAATCATAAACCAACAAACCATCATAATCTAACAACAACAATAAAATTAAAACACTAAAGTGCTACACACATGGCCTATGTTTTACACTATAAATTCATGATTTATTATGGGATTCAGTAAAAAAGAAAAAAAAAATATTAGCCTATTCAACCTAGTTTTATAAATATGCACCATTCATATAAACTTTAATGTAAAATTCACTTTCTTATTTCTAAAGAGCTTTTTGGACATTTAAAAAAGTTATTACATTTCTATGACTGAGTACTTAGGATATGTCCAGGTCAGAATTTCTATAAGCTCAATTATCTACTGGTCATCAGCATTCACTTCCATCTTCAAAATATCATGTCCCTGTCTTCATCATCCTTATAAGCATGACTTATTAAAACAAAGCGATCTCAGCTCTATTACCTTGATGGCATTGTAAGTGCAATAACGATGCCTGAGGCTAACTTCTCCTTCATCAGCTCCTCTTCATCCTCTTCTTCTCCATCATCATCATCATCTGATTCATCCCTCCTCTTCTTCCTCCGATACTCTCCATCTTCCTCATCATATCCATCATCTTGTTTGATCAGCTTCTGACGGGAGGACTTCTCATTGACTGTCGACGTTTTAGTTTTCCTGTATGTCTGTATTGATAGAAATGATATGGAGGATATAAGACAATAATATCTACTTTGTATTTCGCATGAAACCAATAACAATACATAATCAAATGCTTTATGAAATATTCATAGGTAAAAGCTTTTCTTTTGGAATTGTATTAAAGGCACCCTTGTTCTACACTGCAAAACAAAGAAAATACAAGGCACATTGTGATATATTTTATATTTCATGTCAAAATCTTCATCCATATTTATTTTAAAAATTAGACAAAAATTCACAATTTTTTGAGAAAATGACAGTTTTCTTCTTTAACATATGATAAGCTGATTAATGTCTTCCTTACCATGTCAGCATAGCCTGCAACTTCAACTTCATATGCAGCATTCTTTACAACAGTGTCATCTTGATGCTTTTGAATCTAAAGAAGGAAAAAGGAAAGGTTAAAACATAATAATTAATATTTCCTTAGTCCTATATATTAATAAATTACTTTTCACATCCATAGTTTTCCATATACCGGTACATATTTTACAGTGAAATTTATGATTTTTTGTTGTCATAAATGCATTTTCATTTTCTTTCATCTGATTCTTTGCTCTGACCTACACTGTAGATAACAATGTCTGGTGTTTTCCTTCACGCATTGCACATATTTCACAGATAAAGCCAACCAAATGCTATAATTTATTGCCCCTTAATTCCCATCCACTCAGCTAAAATACATTTAGTATTACAAACAAATACAAATAAAAACTTAAAATAGACATAAAATACTGTGCGAAGAACCTACAACTCTCTCTGAATTCTGAAAGAAACCAATAGCCTACATACCCTGTCCTTTGCAATTTCTTTGACGAAGCATCTTGAGATGATGATGGCTAGAATGACCCCTATGATGACCCCAAAGATGACCGCTAGACTGACCTCCAGGGCGTCCAGTCTCCATGAGGAGGTAGGGATGATGGAAGCAATCTCAACACAAGACATTTTCAATGACCTTCAGTTTCCTAGTTTGGAAGGAGTAAATCATAGATCATAAAAGATAAGGAGGACAACCTTTCTAATTCCATTTTCTAATTTTTCATTTATCTGCAAATTTCATTGATTTCAATGGAGAATGTCAATGGTCTTCTCTTGGCTGCCTTGAAAGCAAAACTTAGATGAATTTTTCACATCAATAATAATAATAATATCAGTACTATAATATATTATTATAATGAATAAGAAGAAGAATAAAATAAGAATGATAATAAACATTATTTTTTAAACTCTAATTGGTCACTTTGACTTGATCTGTTTTCGTTTTGGTTATCATAATCATACCATTATTCAGCCAAATGAAGAAAACTCAGCTACAAATCTAAATGCTAACTTCTCAATCTAATTACATCTTAACTCGAGGGCATGCTGCTCGAGGGAGCTAATTACATCTCTGATGGAAATCATCATGATCATCAGGTCATGTACAAATTACACTAGCACTTTTGTTTCCAGAACATAGTCATAAACACAGTCATACTCAAAGCAATAACAGGCCTAAACTTTAAGTTTAAGGTAATGATTAAGGGTCCACGATTAATTAATATCTTTCCAAACTAGGCTAAAATTCAGGTTAGACAAGTCTCAACTCTCAAGTTAATTCCTCTTTCATGAAATGTAGGAATGAAGACAAATGTGTATCATGACGATGAAGATCTAACAATATTACTTAGAGCTACACGACATCAATTATGACAATATTATGATTATATATGTTTGCGTTCTGGCTGGCCCTGTGCAGCATGCAGCAACTAGGAAGATATGGCGAGTGGTTGCGACAGGTCCGACGGGCTTCTCTCCCGTGGATTCTGTCTTGCTTACCGTAGTTAATGAGACCGCCGAGCTTCTTCTGCTGCTTCCAGCGATTTTGGGTGCAATATCTTACGTTAAAGATTAATGTTTCGACAAAATATAATACACAGTATTAAATTAATATCTATAATTCATTTACATGTTCTACAATCATTACCTTTTTCGTCCCGTAACTTGAGAATGGTTCGATTTGATAAGCGTAGAAATTCCAGCTCGCAAAAATGTTCTCTGTAGATTCCTCTTCTTCCCCTGAATTGACCAATCAGCACCCGTAAATTTGACGTCATTCATATGGCGAAGCTTGGTGTTTCTAGGGATACGTGAATCTTTCAGCGCTCTTTAAACTGGTTATCTAAAGTTGAATATCTGACGATTCCAATAGGTAATGTTACTTTTGAGTATTATTTACGAATCATTGATTTATTCTGAACGGATTTCCTGAAGCATTTATAAAATTACAGGAGGTAAGACGTATAAAATTGGATGTATTTTGATCATATCGTGGTATATCGTGGCGTGAATTTGTATACACCTGTTGTCCGTGTTCCTATGGCTATTGACTTCCCTACGTGTGGTCGAGAGTGAGTGGTGTGCGTACATGTAGGCTTGATAATTGATTGCTTTGTAAACAGTATACACACACGGCATTTGCTGTAGCTGATAAGGGAACGCATAAAACGTGCAATAGATATAATATTATGGACGTCGAGGAGAGGGTCCCATGCAATGCCAAAATTTCATTCACCGACTATATGAAGACGAAGTTGAATCTAATTTCTTATAAACATTCTTGTACTGCATGCCATGCCACAAATGATATTAACGCTGTTTGATTTGCAAGCACATGATGAAAGTATGTTACTAGCTGTAATAAAAAAAAAGTTAATGAATGTGTGAAAAGACAACTAAAAATATGAGAGAAAATGTTCAGTGCACTGCCATTTTTTACTTAACAGTCACAGAATTATTGATAAGATGAAGAATCAAATAACCAGATATATTTATATAGCAATTATCAATAAAGAAAGATTACCATGAGGGATTAAGACTTTATGGCACAATATATATCAATCTTAATTGTCAAGCAATTCTAATTTCTATGCGAGTATTATTTTATTATTGTATACTGCTGCATACATGTATCTTTATTTTTTTATTTTTTAATAGTCTGTGTAAAGGAAGATCGAAGCACAGAACTATGATTCCCTTTTCACTAATTGAGTTGACTTGTCGTATCTTACACACATGTACATGTATACCCATGGTTTAATGTTTAATATGTCAATTAAGGTTGTGTGTAGTTTTATGAGTCTGAAAGTTATATTCAATGCATAAATTACAAAAAATGTCTTAGCCAATATTTTTGTTTTAATTGAAACTGAAATTCTATTCTATCCAACCATTTTGTCTTTTGATCTGAAGTAGTCATACCATGTAGCGATAAAATGATAAGAATGATAATACTAAAAAATATATTGATAATAAATATGATATTAATGATAATAATAATAATGTTCTCTGTTTACATAGCATTTTTCTGGGGTGATATATCACGCTATCAACGATGTGTCTAAGCGTTTATTAATACAATATAATATATAATAATTTTTGTAACAAATATAATATGATATGATATGCGCAATCACACATATAATATGATATAATAATAGTACGAATAATAATAATGATAATACTTTTCTAATTATTGTCTGTTACAGGTGAAACATGAGACACAGACAGCATAGAAAGGACCCTTGTATACAGATGTGAAGGATTTGAAACTTTGATTGTGACACAGCCTTGAGCTAGACATTGCTTCCAACCATGGCAAAACATCTTCAGGAAAAACCTAGGTGCAGAATTCTTGGTCCATTCTCATCAATATTCATTGTCATCCTCCTGGTATCATTGAATGCCATCAAAGCAGATGTACTGGAGACAGTGGATACCCCATCATCACCGGTACCGTCCATGTCTCTCCTCCTAGAGGCACAGAGTGGAGTAGACAAACCAGGACCGGAATCTGTTCTTCTCACAGACCCAGTGGATGTGTCTCTTAGTCTTAGTCTTGCTAGCAACATCACTCTCTACAACACAAGCGTAGTCGTTCTGATCCCTGGGGAGTTCAGTCTAGCTGAGAATGTAACAGTGACTATAGGAGACAACATAGCATCAAGCCTTCTTAACGATTCCCTCAATCAAGTGCAGTCGTTGATTATCGATCTCGGAACTGTCCAAAACTCAAACATCTCATCCAATCTGACAGAAGAAGATATGATCAAGATTTCATTTACTGCTTATCTCTTGGAAAAAAGTGAAAAAATTGGAGATTTGTTCTATTTCCCAGCTGAAGTACAGTTTACTGAGAGTGTGAATGAAACATCACAAATTGTTAGAAGTGATATCAGCTATGCTGGGCCTGGAATTAGAACACAGTTTAATAACTCTGGTTTTTCTACCTATGGTGATTTTATTCCGGATAGAGAAACTGTGATGAATGTATTCCTAGACTTTCCTCCATACACCTTATCTAATGTCTCCTTCTCACTAGGTATGTAAAATATTTTATCAATATGTTATTTTTATTTTTGTTTTTCAGATTATTTTCATTATAGAACAAGTAGTAGAGATAGTTATAGTATTAGTTCATGCAGTAGTATATAGTAGCAGTGGTAGTGGTGATGTTAGCTAGCATATCTCTAAGTTCTTACTCATGGCATTATTTCTTTGCTGCCTCCTCCTGTTCTTCACAATAATGTAATTAAATCTGAGATCATTTTCTGTTTTGATTCCTGCACCTACACATTAAAGACATCTATGTATGTACCTACCATGTTTACTTAGTTAGGCTGATATTAAATACAAACAGTGGCTTATAAAATTTCTCTCAAAACAATATATTCTCATCATTCACCATGTTTGTAGAAGTCATAAGCGCTCAGAAAATCTACTTGTTATTTTACAGGAGTTTCCAGCCCTGGTGTACCTACTTTGAACGTGGATTTCACCGAAATGTTACTTACACCCAGTACAAACTTCATTACATACAGCGAGCCATCTACGCCTGGCTTTACCTGTGTTGGTAATAGCTGTTCATTATCTGATCTCAACTTTGGTGATGTTACTGCTGTAAATGGAACTCTAGATCTCCAGGTAAATTTGATTCATTCTAATTCGATCTTTTTATCATTTATGTTATCTTGCAAGTTACATGCATTTAATAATACTTTTGCCTACCGGTATATTTTAAGATACTAACCATGCTAAAAGCTCCCATGCATTTATATATCTCTTAAATGTATGCTCTTCACTGTATGCTTGTATTTAGCTAAATGCATGTCTTTGATAACTATATGTACCTCATCTCAAATATATCATCTGTTTGGAGCCAGAAGGGCATTAACACATGCAGAGTTAAAGAGAAGGTTGAGTTCTGGGAAGAGGTGAAAAATAATTTGTGAGCGTTACTCATTCTTATTATGCAAGTGTGGAAGAACATCAGATAAGACATGTTCCCTGAAAAGCATGGCTCTTCAAGTGCCTTCATATTCTAAATATGCATGTAACATCGTAAAAATCAGGGGGGCCGGCTTTTTACGCAAACATGTTCGTGTAGTCCCATATACATCTTTCTGTGTACAGTGTTTGTAACTTTACCAAGACTTGGCCAAATTTCTTATCATTTTGATGATTCCAGAACCTTGCAATACACACAAATTCTTATATGCTAGATGATCAACCTTTTCTGGTCGGTTCTACACCGTTTCTTTCACAATGCAATCGCATGACCAGAACTCAACTTCATCTTTAACATCCTTCTGGCATATAATATTTGTAATTTGTAATAAAACTTGTTTAATATATACATAATATAAAGTGCAAGCAATAAAAGCAAACAATCTTATTTTAGTGCATACTTTTTTACGATGCTGGCAACGCATTCTCAGAGTTATCTAAAACTTAAAGAAATATCGTTCTCCTTGGCGCACGATTTGTCATTTCCCGATGGACTGCTGCTGTTATTGTCATGCTTACACCTCACTTAGCATCAAATCAAGCGTGAGTGTAGTATTACAGCATCGCATCATTGCTATGGCAACCAGTGTAAATAGATACACAGCCTGGAGGATAATTCGCATTCTGCCGGGATGGTATTGATTAGATGCGATTGGAGTAATGAATGGTGGCCTGGCTGAGCATCGCTCCTGAGAGCTTTTCCATTTAAAAACAGTGCATTGTGAATGGCAGGAGATTATTAATGATGAATAGAAAGAACTATGAAAAACATGCAGTATAATATGAAGCAGGAAATTGAAAGAGATGAGATAGATGGAGTAATGTACTTACACATTTCTTTATTTATTATTGTTATTATCTGATTTCAGTTAGATTTGCTTTTGACATATTTCACTTTCTTATCTATCTATCTATCTCTTCATTTTATGTTGTCTCTACTCTCTAGAAGCTATATTATATGTAGTGAATGGTACAGGTATGAATACTTCTCTTCTTTCTCTCTTATTCTCTTTTCTCTTTCCCCCTTTTTAACCTTTTCCATTCTTTCGCCTTGCCTTTTTTCCCCCCTTTTTTTTTTGCTCTCTCTCTCTCTCTCCTCTCTCTCTTCTCTCTCTCTCTCTCTATCACTTTCTTCTTCCACTCTCTCTCTCTCTCTCTCTCTCTCACACACACACACACACTATCTCTCTCTCTCTCTCCCTCTCTCCCTTTCTTTCTCTCTCTCTTTCTCTTTCTCTCACTCTCTCCCTCTCTTTCTGTTTTCCCCCTCTCACTCTCTCTCTTTGTTTATATCAATATATAATTTGTCTGGTAACTTTCTTGGCAATGATAAAATGTTATCACATTGATCACAAATATCTGATCTGCCTAATATTCTCTTTTCTTGTAGATTTCCTTCATCATAAATGATGGAATATTGAGTGTTGGAGATGATGTGTTTTTACAAGAGGATATTATACTCAATGGAGGATCTGCTCACATAGACAGCCATGTGTTAAGTGTAGTACAGCCAGATCTTATGATCACAACAGATGTAGTGGCGGTACGTATCAAAGTATATTTTCTGTACATTTTCTAAAGATTTTGAAAGACAGTTTAGCCATGCAGGGGCATATATGCTTGTATAACAATTTTAACAAAATATTTAAAAAGTCTATCTGTATTCTAATTATAATGTGCATTGAGGTAATCAACTCATTCTGTGTCTCTCAGATAATATCCCTAATGTCAAATTGTATTTCTCATGGTATATTTCCCCAGTGGATTGTATTACAGTTTAATTTCATATAATATTTGTATACAATATATATTTATCTTTTAAATAAAGCTGAAGGGTTTTCCATAGAGCCAATTAAGAATGAAGAAGGACATTTGTTTAATCAATGGTCACAGTTCAATGATATTGCTAATTAGTATCATTTCAGTGTGGATCGATGCTGATTGCCTATTGTCTCTCATAGCAAATGAAAGACTAAACATTAATCACTTGATACAATTTGCCAAAAAATATATAATCCCAAATGCAGATCTGTGTCTCTAGGGATATCAGATATGTTATGATTCATAAATCAGTGAAATTATGAAACTGACCTTCATTTGAGACTATAATCATGAAAGTGAGATTCATAAACTTACTCTTCACTATGAAACCTGTATTTTGTTAATGTAAAGACCTGCATTATGAAAGGCGGATTTTGTGTTCAGACCAGTGATTCTACAAAATGGAGACTGCTTCTCTTCTCCCTCGCTTTTACTAGGTTATCCATCAAATCATCTCAGGAAATAATACCTTCTTTGCATAAATCAGATTTAATTTCATCTGAACAGTGTTGAATGAATCTGCAAACAAAAGATTCCCTTGTTGCCCAGTATCGGAGGGATCTTAAGAATGCACCTGTACCGTGGTGATATATGCAGACGGTACCCTAGAAACACATTGATAATCATATCAAAGAGGGACTTCTGCTAGAAAATCGAATTACTTGACTCTAATAATGTAATTACAACGTTGACTCTGTCAGGCAGCTAGCGGCATAATAATTCATATGGAATATGTAATCTGGATGTGTAGGGATTACTGCTATGTAGAAACTAGATTGCAAGGCATCAGTATGATATTTGAACAATATATGTATATATTCATCTGGATATGGAATATACTCTCTTTAAAAAAAAGAATGAATTTTCACTCTATTTTCACTTTCGTCGACGTCCGTGATCACTTGTTTAGGAGTGAAAATTGATTGATTTTAGAGTGCTCTCTAAGAAGAAAAGAGTGAATGTTCACTTTATTTTCACTACATTTTCACTCTCCAGAGGAGTGACGTCCGTGATCACTCAATTTTTTTTAGAGAGTACAAAAAATGAACTTAGATTATACATGAGTTATGATGTATATATGGACAACCCCTGTATTTTACCCAAAACATCAAAGATCTTGATGTACCAAAAGATTGTATTATAAATACTTGCAGATATGTTGCTCTTGGCCAAATACATTATCCAACTACACATCTATGCAGTATAATTAATACTTTTTCATACACAAGAGCTTTGGTTTATCTGTTGAAAATACATATTTTACTGCAGCCATCTTTTTTTTGTTACGCCTTTCCTCTCTTCCAAGAGCTTTTTAAAAAAATGAAGTTGAAACTCTTTTTTGGCTTAATTCCCATAGCTGCATCACTCTTAGCTCTTGTGTTTGTTTTCTGTCACTTATTTATAGTTTTGAATTAATATATCATCATTATCAATTTCTTATTTCGCAGCTCTCTAGTACCGATGTCATTGATGACTACACCTACCAATACATGCATTTCACCACTACCGTCTCTCACACCGTTAACTCCACCGGTCCTGCATCACAGGTGTCCTTCTATAACCCAGTATCAGGACTCTCTGTTGATCTAGATACCATTACTCCTGATCCGTTCTCATCATCAAGCATCAAACCGGTTATTACCGCTTCTCGGTACACACTGAACCCTGGAGTCTTGGAAGGTAGGGAGTATACCTCTCACAATTTTTTCCCTGGAGAAAGATATTGAATAAAAATACAATCGACCTGTCTTACTAGCCACTTCTCCATAAAGACCACCTCTGAATAGTGTTGCTGTATTTTGTCTCTCTCAAGAAAGAACTTCATGTTGAATTCTGTCTAGAAAGGCTTCCAGTCTTCTGTATTCACCTCCTCTTGTTTCCCTTTGGCTGCCCTCAATAATTAGTTTAGATTGTAATATACTGAGGTGGGGAGCTTAAAGATACTATGTCCCTTTTGCAGCCAACATCAAATTCTGTAGAACTTTGCAGGAATTATGTATGTCCTATCTGTGAAATTTTAACATTAGCAGTGTCCTAATATTCAAATTATGCAAGGAAACCTGTTTACTTGCTAGACTTCACAGTCAGACACTATTGAGTGACTGACTGGCTTTTTTCTTCTTTGGTAATTACATACATAAAATGAGCTGTAAATGGTACATGAGCATTTGTCTACATCAATAACCCACTTCTTGTAATGGCTAAAATTAAACTGATTGAATCTTTGCGCAGCATAAAACGTAGGACCATTCAGTACAATGGTCTGAAAATCAGACTATTACTTACTGGCTCTATAACTCTCAAGTCAATTTGACAACTAATAGTTGTTATTTTCCCACTTAAAGACATTTTCAAGCTCCCCCTTTTTTAGGGAAGTTCTAAATTAGTATTATTTTTCAAATGCCGTTGGAATTTAACCTTTTCATTTTTTTGGCCTGCAAATGGGACATACATGTAGTACCTAGTTACATCCTTAGAATATTCAAGAAAATTAACCAGTTTACTAAGTGATTGCTTCCTTGTATAAAGCACAGAATTGAAACCCAATAGAATCATCAAGAAATAGCCAATCATGTAAATTGTATCACTAATTTAATTGGTTGATATTTTCAAATGTAATCAACTTTTCAAGTTAAAAGAATTTTAAAAGTGGTTTTGTTTGTTTGTGGTATGTGGTATATGATTTTTTATCATTTCATGATTATTTTGTATTACATTAGTAATCATTTCAATTTGTGCACATATGACTGAAGTCTTACAAATTTATCAGCAGAACTACAATTTCACTATAAATAAAGTTCCTGATTTGAATTGTCATTCATGAAGACATATATTCAGGTGTTACCTTAAGTATCATATTACTTTATAGACTATTCTAGCTAATCTGTATTATTCTCTATTTTAGTCATTTTGCTGATATGTACAAAGGGTCAATCGATGGGTTCTAACAAGCTCAGTTAAGTATGAACGATCATGAAAAAAATTATAACTTCATGTTATTTTTTATTCTCTTTGTTCTTCATTTAGTTGGTGAGACGGCTGTATTATCATACAACGCTAGACTAACCCAGAGTTTAGTAGATGACAACCTAGAGACGGACATTCAACTAGAGTCTCAGCTTACATGGTCATCACTCCCAGCAGATGAGGAAACCAATACAGTAAGATTAATTCTTGTCATGTTCATTCGTCGAGAATAAAATATGGTTTTAGTTATGTGGAGTTAGACAGTTGATTCATCTTTGCTCTGTTTGTATCTTCTCCTGATTATTATCATTTTATTATTCAGAAAAATAAATGAGTCATGCCTGGTGGGGGGGTACTCAGATTTAGTTTGGACGAGGGTGTGCACTCTAAGCCTCGAAACCCCTACCTATTTTAAGGGGCATTTTTCTTGAAGTAAGGCCCATTTTTAACAATTTTTGGGTGGTTGCCATGCAAATACATCAGAAAAATTTGTGAAAACAACCCATGTTTAGTGATATTTTTGTAAAAATGTGACCAATGTTTAGAGATTTTTTCGTGAAAAAAAGTTACCAATTAGAGTGGCACACCCCCCTATATGTCTTAATATGTGAGTACGACACCTCCCCCCACCTCATGTGGAGTTATTCAGCAAATCACTTTCATTAATAGACCTATAGTATAATTTAATTTAGACAGGGGTTCAGTTACTACTAAAAATATCTATACTGGTAGATATATCTGTTACTTGTGTGAATCTATTATTAAAAGCGATAGAATATTCTGGCTCTCTAAAAGTATGCTGAATATTGATTATTCAATTCAATTAAATTCAATTCAAATTATGAAGGCAATATTCATTCGATACTGCATCTGTGAGTTTTTATTTAAGATGTTGTAAGGTATCATCAATATTTGTTCTCAGCCTTTTACTTAACCAGATTCCTGAGAAATAAAGGTAAATCATCTGAGCCTATGAACAAGCAAATTCATTTGGAATATAAAGTAATAATCATATTTTTGTTCTCCTGCAGCATCCTGGTACTAGCTTTGGCCCCATCACAGATAGCATCTGCATCACTCAAAGCATCACCTACGAGGAGAGTCTCCTCTATAACCATGGCCTCCCAGCCCTCTTCTTCTTTGTTGCTCTCATCCTTGCTCTAGTCCTTGTCATCCTCTGCTGTTTCATCTATGCTAAGATGTCTGCCGGTGGTATCTATGCGATCGTGCAACCCGAGGGGACCATCTCTAAGAATCAACACGGTCTTATTATTAATCCTAGAGTCGGCAAAACAGGTGTAGACATGGTGGAGGAGTACAGGTTAGTTCTACTTAAAGGGCAAGTCCACTCCAAAAATAAATTGTTTTCAATAGAAGCAGATAAATCAGATGAACCAATCAAAAAAAGTTTGAGCAAAATCAGACAACTAATAAGAAAGTTATTAATTTTTATTTACATGAAAAATTTGAAAATCACTAGACAAATTGGCAACTCATAGACCTTAAATACGGAATGAAATATTTTATGCATTTGGGCTCTAAATACATGCTTTGTAAAGCTATCCAGCAAAGGTTATGAGTTATAGGAATACAATCACCACATATTATAGTCCATATTGTATTTGAAGGAAAACTTATCATGAGTCAGAGGATTTAGTAGTTTTTTAATATAATTCTATAATTCTAAATAATTTTTATTTGAAAGAGTTCCCAATTTGCAGGTTTTGTGAGTATGGATTGGCCTGAATTTTGCTTGATGCATTCTTAATCTATCAAGTTTTTGGCTACCACCAACATATAAGGTATGCCCGACATGATTCTGTGACATTAGAACTTGTATTAATTCATGTTCAAGCTTGTTGCTCAATACTGTTTTTGTTTTTGTCACCCTTGTGCAGCTCCGTCACAGCCAATGAGAGCATTGTTGTGGTCTTGATGCAGAAGGACAAGACAAGGAAAGTCCTCGACTTTGAAAAGTAAGTTCCATGGTCTAATCAAAGCTGCTAAATTTTAAGTATGAAATAGATATCTTCCGATTGAATTTTGTGTTGTCTTTCATTGTTGTTGCTTGTTTCTTAGGATGGTGTTGAATATCACTCTATTTTACTCTCCTTATTAGGGAAGCTCCAGTCAACTATTATATAGGTTATAAAGAAAAATCTGCTTTCTTCATTAAATGATTACAATTAATGGTACATTGGTGATTTGCTCACTTTTAAAAATTGCAAACACTGATTTCAAGGCTGCATTGAATGTGTTATCCTTGTATTTTGATATTTTTAAAGTAAAAAAGGAGCTCTGAACCAGCGCAGCTGAATATATCTTATATAAAAGCTGCGCTATATAAAAAATTAAAAAGGTTTTATATTGCAGCTTTGATATCATGAAAAACACAAGAGCAGATATCATGAGTGAGATGTTTATGATTCTTTTATTTTTTATATCTAACAGTTTGGATATCATGAGTACCATTACAACCGACATGCGTCTGGAGGAGCAGCGAATCTCCACCATGATTGAGATGTTTATCATGCTCCTGGGCTCCTGGTCCCTCAGGGATCTTCTTCCAAGGGATTTCTCAGCAAAGCTTTCTAAGAAATACCAGCGATCTGCCAAGGATGCCATCAAGAAGCTTGATGATGAGTATGGTCACGAGAGCAGGGAGCTCATTAAACACCTCAGCAATGAAAATAAGGTATGACTTTAATATGAATCTAACATTGTAAGTAGGTACATAGAAGGGAAGAGGAATGGGGATATTTGGGGATTATATATTATCATATTGCTAAACTTTGGAACTGCAAATCGAGCTGTGACTTTGACATAAAAAATGTGTTTGTTTTTTTACACTTGTTGATGATGTTCATTTTTGTTTCTATTTAGAAGGGGTACGTGTAGGAGAATTTCAGTACCACAGGAAAATGAATAGTTACTGTTGAAAATTAATGGTCATTACATATATATGTTTTAGTTTTATGTGTTTTTCATGTGACACCCATATCATATTGACTTCTCATTTGTAGGGAAAGCTGATTATGCTGAAGAAGAAACATGATGCTGAACTTCGACTGAAAGCTGCTCAAGCCAGGAGTTTGTCCAAAGAGGTAAATAAATTATTAAAATGTATTATTATACTTTATCCCAATTTTCAGAACTTCATAATGCCTCTGGGAGTGCTAACTCTTGATGATCTTGTACATTAAAGATGGAATGGAAAACATTGACATATTTTTATGATCAGAACGACTGGCTGTCACACTTTGAATTGAACTCCGCACTAATTGTGTTTCTCTTTCTTGATTTGGTTATTTTTTTGTGTAAGACTTGTTTATCTTTCTTAAATCGTGGTATAGCATCTGTTTATTTCAGCTCTCTCATTTGATTTTGTTATCTTCTTTGGTAGGATCTTAAAGAAGTGATGGATTTATTAAAGAAACAACAGGCAGCCGGAGCTACAAGCTTGACACAGCTACTCAGACTCAAACAAGATGAAGAACAAGAAAAACTTCGCAAGGTGAGTATTTTAATCATGCTATACCCTTTTAAACTTATATGACAACTACAGAGAAACCTGCTTTAGCAACCACCTTGATACATAGACCACCTGTCTATTGAGACCACATAGTCTGTTTCCTTGAATAGTCTTTATCATTGGAATGTGTGCTGAAGGAACCTGTACAGGATAACCACCTGCCTGTAAAGGCCACCTTTCTTGTATCCTTGAGTGATCTTTATACACAGGTTTTGACCACATATTTATAGAACAATTATAAATTATTTTACTGGTGGCAGCGGTGGGATATGAACCTACACTTTCATTAATGTATCTCTATGGGATGATTCGTTGGAATTCTTAATTGATCATTAAACTCAATCTATCAATTTAATTATCTCATCAAGTAGGAGTATGCATCCAAGAAGAGGATAGCTATAAATAGAGTCTTGTTGTAATTTCTGTTTCTGTTAAAGGCCACCTTTCTTGTCTCCTTGAGTGGTTTTTATACCCAGGTTTTGTACACATTTGTAGTACTCATGCGCATTCTAGTGATATTACTGGTGGCAGCGGTGGGATTTGAACCTACGCTTTCATTAATGTATCTCTATGCGATGATTCGTTGGAATTCTTAATTGATCATTAAAACTCAATCTATCAGTTGAATTATCTCATCAAGTAAGAGTATGCATCCAAGAAGAGGATAGCTATAAAGAAAGTCTTGTTTTAGTTTCTGTTGACAATTATAATACTTAGTCATGTAGATCTCTCTGTAGAAATTGATTTAATCAATCAATCTGTCAAGTGAATTAACTTCATCAAAGAAGCGTATATTGATGACCAGCAAAAAAGCTGCCAAGAGAATTTAATTTGACCAAAGAAGGGACGTTTATTTGTGTAGTTCACACATATCTTAATTGATAATTAAACTCATCTTTCAATGAATTATCATACTAAACAGGAGTATGCAACCAAGAAGAGGATAGCAATGAAAGCTGTTCAGCAGGAATACATGGATAAAGCAATCCTCCAAGGAAAGTTAGATGAGGATCAGGCTAGAAGGCTACTGTCTGAACACCAACAGGATATGTCTACTGTAGAGAGGCTGATGGATGAGGAGATGTCTAGACAGAGGATGAGTCTGGAAGAGAAACTAGCAAGGAGGAAACTGCTCGCCAAGGCAACGGTAAGATGGTTTTTGAGTGAAGACATTAGTTTGAATAATAGTGCTAATTAAACTGGAAACCTTGATGATTTTGTTTCTTTTCATAAAATCTTTATTCAGATACAAAATCATGGATGACATCGTACATAATTATTTACAACAAGCAAATCATAGCCTTCATGATAATGATGATGATAATGATTTTGATGATGACGTTAATGATTGTGACAATGATGATAACATTGACTGTGATAGTGATGGGTGGGGTCATTGGGTATAATGATGATGAAAGCGGTGGTGCTGCTGCTGCTGATGATGATAGTAATTTAAATGGCGGTGATGATGAAAATGTTAATGGTAGGTCTATCACTGTCGATGATGATGTTGATGATTATGAAAATGATAGGATAAATTGAAGATAAATGGTTACGACAATTGAGATGATGATGATGATGACAACTATAGTGATAACTATATAACTGATTTTATTGATGGCCATGGAATTCTCAAACTTTAGGGTACTACTTTTTAATGAGGATTCCTCCCATTTACAATTTTCTTTTATCTTTATCTTCTTGCTCCAGGAATCTCAAGAGGAGCATCACAGCGCCCTTCTGAACACCATGGCGTCTCAGACGATGACCGCAGTCAGTGAGCTAGAGCAGAGTGAACAGCTCGGCCAGGAAGAAGCCAAAGCTTATGTGGAGAAACTCATGAAGGAAGTCAAGGGGATCAAAGAGAACTATGAGAAGGAGAGGAGGAAACAAGAGGAAGTCCTTCATAAGAAGCTGAGTGAGAAGAAGAAGAAGAGGATGCAGGAGAAGGTATGATGGAGGGATTATAGCTTCCAGGCAAACGCTCTTAAAGGGATGCGGTAACTTTGTTTTAGATCCTTTAAAAAATGCTTGATTTAACTCATGCTGCAATGATGATTATAAACCTTTAGGTCAGTCAGGAACCCCATGACTTTTATAAGCTGATCGCCTGTCTGCTTATCAAGATATTTATGATTGAAAATCGAAATCAAATTTTGTGTTTGCCAAACAGGTTTCATAACACTACAGTCAATTGGGAAAAACGAGTATGGTAAAACCGGTCACTCAGAAATTTTTACTTTCTTGAAGCACTTCTTGGTCATTTTGAAGCACAATTTTTTTAGGCCCATATTACACCATATCATAGACACTGATAATACGTAGGGCTGTGCATCTCAGATTTAACATTGTTAAACGATCCCTTTAACATTCGTAGATATTAATCGATAGTCTTCATTATCAATGGTGCGTATTACAAATATGGTATTTGGGCCTTGCTGCACTGGCATGCAGACTGTGGAGGAATAGACTAAAGAATGTCATTTCTGTATGTCCAGTATTTTTTAATTTACTGCATTTGTGCTTCCCAATCTAAATCAGTATACCCATGGTATTCTGATTCATGAATTACGTCCAGTCCAGTGTCCTGATTTCTGATATATATTTTTATATTTATTCACTTCTGATCAGTTCATTAAACACTCTGTACACACACATACATTAAATGCTTGTTCCTACCCCAGTGCAACCCATCCCCTACAGAAATGAAGCTCTGTAAAAGATTAGAATATGAAACTAAATTGGAACATTTTATTATTTTTTTTAGTATTTCATCTTGGTTTAATTGTGTCTTTATGTATTTTACAGGAAAGAGAACAAAAGCAGGAGTTTGCTGAATTTGAGAAGAAGAAAACAAGTGTAGACAATGGTGAACTGGGTAAGATATCTTAATATTTTAATTTTGAGAAACAGTATTTGATATACGTTAGGATTTAAAAGATGAAGTTATCAGTTTATAACACGATAATAAAGTTAAGAATATTTAATTAAATTTGAACATGGTTTTTGCATAATGTTGTTTGAAAAGTTTATAGATGTTCAGTAATTGTCCCTTTTTATCAAGAATTCTTCCCTGAAGAAAAGGAAGGAATGATGATTAAATGTATTGCTCATGCATTTAAATGACTGTATGTATCTAATGGATCATTCTTGTTGTGGTTTTGTCCAGATCTCGAAGAATATTTTGAGTCCAAGAGCGGCCTCCTTGCTGGTCATCGCTCCCAGCTGGCTGAGATCGAGACAGAGGTCGATGAAGAGGCGAGAGAGGAACTCGAGAACCTGAGAGATGAGATGGCAGCAAAGGTCAAGGGTCAAATCACTAATGTCAGACAGAAGGTTCATGTTGATCTCCAGAACAAAGGTGAGGAAGGTTTTCTTATCATAGCTTTCCATAGTTATTTAGTGTCTAACTGTAGGAGAATGAAGATGCCAAGGAGATTGGTAATTTCACTTTGTCATGATAGTTTTATTATAGAAATATTGGTAAAATGCCATTTGTATATTTTAATCTATTTTAATGCGCAGATGTGGGGAATGATTCCTCATTCTATTTTATCAAACTATTATGTGGGATAAATCATTTATTAGAAATGTTTCATCTGCTTCAAATTATAATTATGAAACAAGAAAATAATATAGGCAAGAGTTTACTCATTCTTATGTTTAATCAGATTAATATTTTGGTGATTACAAATTTACAAGGGTAAAACAGGAATGGGATGAAGGGTTGACTGTAATGTCTTGTATTTCAAGGTAAGCCTCAAAAGATTATTCCTTAATGTGAATTATTTAATGAAATCATTGATGTTGCTAGATCTAATTACATGGTGTGCATTGTAGTTAATAATTGACTATATTATTTCGCTTTGCAATATTATGCCTTGAAATATGTGAGTGCCTTGGATTACTTGTTGCTAGGTTAAGCTGAAGGTTGGGGCCTTGAAATGGATGATTTAATTAATGTGTTGCTAGGTTTAACTTGAAAGTTTAAGCTGTGAAATAAATGTTTACCTAAAATCTCTTTTGTGTTACTAGGATTGACTGAAAGACAAGCAGCACAGATTGTTGAGCAGCATGAGAGGGATGTAGAGGAGATGCAAGAACAGAGGGAGGAACAGAGACAGAAACAAGAAAAAGCTATCAAGGTTTGTTCAGGGGTCTCAAAAACAATTCAAATTCAAGATTACTAAGAATTATTATCTATAATGATGATAAAAAGTATAAATATTTATTCAATATCATGTCTTTCAGAATATGGGTCTTGCTCTGTGCTTTATGTATGTGATGATAAAGAGATTAATTTCTTCTTGTGTTTGACTGATTCCCTAATTGGTTCTGCATTTACATTAAAAGAGGAGATAATTCTGTGGTCTTCTTTGACATCAAAATAGACATCTAGTAACTTTTCTTTTATGTATATAACATTTATAATAGTTCATAAGACCCACCCACTTTCCTAACTTCTGAAAGTTATGAAACTAAGCTTACTATATTAAAAAGTAGAAATTTGCCAAGTAATTTTCTTTTGTGGTGGTATAACATTTCTTGTCCATCATCTTGTCCCCATTGTAGAAGAGAATGGCTAAACAGCGCAAAGAGCTTGCTTTGAGAAAGCAGGAGGAGAGAGAAGAGAGAGAACAGATCAGGGAACATGAGGAGAAGATGGTCGGGTAAGTCATTTTAAGATCACTACTGTTTGGTGGAAATAGGAATTGACTTATAACAATCTCTCAGTGCTGTAGTAGTAAAAGGAAAATGTCAACCTATCAACCTAACCTCAATCAGGATGATGAAATTCTGAAGCGTGTTTTGAAGCGCATAGAGATGTTATTTCATAACGTATTACGCGCTATACAAGAACTGAATATTATTATTATGGATATGACACTTTTTTATTTTCTTGTCCCTCACCAGGCGACTATTAGCATCTCAGGTCGCGATGTCAGAGGAAGAAAGGCGTCGTATCCTAGCAGAACATGAACAGCATCTGGTTGCTATGGAGAATAGCCTAGCTCTCACCAAGCTGAGACAGCGTCGTCTGCTAGAAGAGAAGATGGCTGGTAGGAAGAGCAGACAGATGGACAGACTTGCTAGGAAACAGGAACAAGAAGCTAAGGTGTGTAGAATAGTTTAAACTCTCTTTCTCTCTCTTTCCATTTCTCTCTTTTTATCTCTATTCGTGTAACTCTCACTTTTTTTTCACTTTTTCTTTATATATCCATTTATTGTATACTCTCTCTCTCTCTCTCTCTCTTTCTTTCTCAAGTCTCTCTACCTCTTTCTTGATCGCTCAATATGTGTTTTTATTTGTATTTTTGTGAACTAACTGTCATTATCCCAAGTGCTATTGTATCTTTCCCTCTCTTATACTCATTGATCTTCAAAACAAAGCAAATGTATCACATTCTCATCAGCTGAGAAAGTTATCATCTGGTGTAAACCTGAGTTTAATTTTCCTTTCCTTCACGCAGCGTAAACTTAAAGACAAGAAGCTGGATGATAGTGATGAGGATGAGGATGCTACCAACTCCGATCTGAAAGAGATGATGCAGAAGCACACTAAAGAGCGCATGGCGATGATGACGGACGAAGATGAAGACAGAGATAAATTGGAGGAAGAGATGGAAGCTGTGAGTAAAAAATATCCTTGGTGTATTTTGGTGCTGTAGATATGCGTAGAGTATCCAAGACATTAGAGTTTTAACAGTCTGCTCACAGGATGTATTGTTTCTCTTGTGTTGTACAGTACAGTGTGGATGTGTCTAGTTGAGATATCACTGTGTACCACCAAGGTCCATTCTTTTTCCAAGCTATAAGATATGCAGCCGATAGGTTATAAAAAGAAAAATAGGATTTACAAATTTTGAACCTCTATAGATGGCAGTATGTGTCTAGTAGTGGTAGTGCCTATGGTGTTGGTGAATATTGTGTGAGCAGGGTTCCATCTTATAAACAGTTGCAATTAATTCTAACTTATTTCTCATTGATATCAATTGCAACTATGTACATATGAGATAGGATATTGCAAACTTGCGATTAATTAGAGGACTTGTGATTGATTTGGATCAGTCCCAAGTCCTTATATGACGGGACCCTGAGTAGCTTATCATGTCTAAAAGGGATTATCATCATGCTCTTGATTATGTTGTCATGGCAACAGTCAGCATTTTTTTAACCTTATACTAAATGGCAATATATTTGGCAGATGTTACTTCATCTTCATTGATTACATTTGGAATATTTGTTTGAATCGTGCATTAATTCCTGCCAATCTCTTCTCCAGATGAGGTCTGAGATGTTGAATGAGAGAGCCAATGCTCTGAAGGAACAAGAAGATAGACTAGGAGCTCTCATGGCTCAGCTACAGATGCAGAAAGCTAGAGAGGTAAGAACTACAACTCTGTCCCTCTTCATAAATCAGTTGATAGGGGATTGATTAAAGTCATTGAGTTGTGTCAACCGGTATCAAATTAAACATATGCTTCAGATGAATAATTCTAAATATCTCAAGGAGGAAGGAGGAGCTAATGGGAGAAGGAAGAGGGGCAGACCAACTAGGACATGGACTGATAACATCAAACAATGGACGGGAATGTCATTTGAGCAGCTAACTAGAACAGCTGAAGACAAAAATTATGGAGAACTTGTGTCTTAAGGTCTTAAGCTGTGGGACATAGATGGAAAATAGATAGATAGATAGATAGATAGATAGATAGATAGATAGATAGATAGACAGATAGATAGATAGATAGATGGATGGATGGATGGATGGATGGATGGATGGATAGATAGATAGATAGATAGATAGATAGATAGATAGATAGATAGATAGACAGACAGACAGATGGATGGATGGATGGATGGATGGATGGATGGATGGATAGATAGATAGATAGATAGATAGATAGATAGATAGATAGATAGATAGATAGATAGATAGATAGATAGATAGATAGATAGAAAGACAGATAGATGGATAGAAATATCTCATGGTGAGATATATACAGACCTGTTGCACAATGTGCACTACCAGAAGATAGGAAATGTGAAAGATGTGAGGAGTGTAACATCCTTAAATTTTTACTGTAATTCTTGCAAGTTTTCATTGTGTATAAACTCTTATGAATGCTTAAGAACTATTTATCATACCTTCAATTCCTGATATAATCTTGATTTGTTAATTGTTCTTATTTTTATCCATAATCAAATCAATATATTCCATTTCAGAGTTTGCATCATGCATACAGGTATGATTGATTGATAATAATGAGTTATCTGTATATATTCTTTATAGCTTGCTACCATTGAGGAGCAACATAAAGCCCTTTTGCAACTCAAGATGAACATGCTGGATGAGCTGACTGAGAAAGGCATCATGAAGAATGCTCAGTGCAAGAAAGTCATTGAGACACACCAGAAGGTTTGTTGAATTATACCATTGCCTTATCTGTAACAAATATATCACGGTTTAAAGAGAATGTATATGATAGATACTGGAACTGAACAGGATTTCATAGTAAAAGAGGAGTTTGGAAGCAGTAATCTTTTGGGGTTTTATCAGCATAATGGTAATTTGTTTTCCTTGATTACAATTCAAAGAAATAGTTTTTATTGAAAATTGATAATCAAATTCAATAACATGTACCATTATTGTAATATTCAGTGCTGATTTACAATCATTCTTGTTGGCTAATTATCATAACCCAGCAAGACAGATTTTTTACAAATTAGTAGAATTTCCTTGTTCATTATGTAAGACAAGGAAATGGGAAAAAACCTTCTATGATAGATGACAAAGGAAGAGCTCTGAGAGGGGATTTGATTTGATATTACCGTTTTTATATAACTTTGTTAGGCAACATATGTGATGCCCCTCAGAACAGTTGCAACAGGTGCAATATATTAAATGTGTTATATCATTATAATTATAAATGCCTGTTTCTTTTGAGTGCAGCAAGTAGAAGCAAGGGAACAGAAGATGAAGAAAGAGAGAGCTAAGGCAGAAGCGATCGTCAAGAAGAAACTGAAAGAGAAAGCTGCGGAGAGGGTGAAAACCCTTGCTATGAAACATGAGGAGGAGATACAGAGCTTGCTGGAGAGAGAGAAGAATGGAACAGCTGCAAGACTCAAGAGGGTCGCTCTCAAACATAAACATATGGTCGAGATGGAAGAATTCAGGTGAGTTGCAAAAGGACTTATATGGCTTATGTCAGCTCCCTTCAGTAAGGCTCTTGATACCACTGATGATATCAAGCCATGGTAATATTTTTGCTTGTACAGAAAAAAATATGCTCCAGACAACAGAACTTTAGCCGATGAAGTATACAGGTTTCCATGGAAACCATAAATAGAGCAAATAGAAAGGAGGAAACTCCTAAGTTTGTGATGATACATGAAGTCAAAAGATAATTGCTTGTAATGTGAATAGATGGTAGTACGATTCTTCTACTGCACTTTTTCTGATAAAATAAAATTCAAGGCACAATAATAAATTATTTCTAATACTTCAGTAAGCAATATTGTTCACACCAACAAAATAACAATAATAAATAATAGAATAAAATAATATCCCTTGTAGCTCTGGTTTGAAGGAGTTGTTTGTCTGATAATAATATAGATCATTGAGACGCATTTGTATTAAACATCATCAACACCTTCCACCTGTATCTCTTCCAGGAACAAGCTTGCAGTTGAGATGACACAAACCTTGGAGGAAATCAGAAGACAGTCAGAAATGACAAGAATCAACGAACAACAAGAACAGGTATCTCAATGGAAATAAAGTCTCTGAAAATGAAAGCTGTTTGACGTAAAATATGAGGGAAATAGAAATATGCCATTTGATAGTATGAACACTAAAATTAAAATTGAAAACAACACTTTCTTTTGTAATTAGGTGAACATTCTCAGTGCTGGTACAAGAACCTTAAGTATAGGCCACAGATTGGTTTGAATTTCAATGTCATGGATTATCATTTCTAAATTAGCTATTTGTGCACATAATGAAGCCTAGTGATTTTGATATACAAGAGATATAATTTATGATTATCTCTATCTGATCTATGAAGAATAATAGTGAAGTATATGAAGCATTCTGATCAAATTGAGCCATCTTTCACTGTTTAAATGTTCTATTTCTTCACCAGGAGCTTGATTTCCTGTCGGCGCTTGTCAAGGTCGGTAACTACGACAAGACGGAGCTGATCAACGTCCTCCATCTTCTCTTCCCTGCCAAGTCACATGATCAGATCAACGGAATGTTAGCGAAACTTTATGAGAAGGTGGAGAAAGATGGAGATGAGACGGACAGCTCACCAGCTAAGAGTAATGGGTAAGAAATAAACTCTGTCTCTATTGACATGGCAGTCTTTAAGTAATCTTCTTTTCGATATTAAATGCCCATGTTGGCTCCATAAAGATGAAGCATGTCAATTTCTGTAATTGGGAATATCTTCTGATTAAATGCAGGTAATGCGCTATTCATGTGGTCATTTCTTAATCAAACCCCTACATGTTTATTCTCGTGGAAAACACTGCAACAATGAAAATCTCACTTGTGTATTATTTATAACTTTTGGGGGGAATATGCAATGTTATGCTCAGTAATCAGATGCATGTAAGAAAGGTAACCAAACATTTGCTCCAACAACAATTGCTTTGGGCTTTATTTCATCAAAGATATAAGGTTATGGGTATGTTAATAGAGAATTTATTATTATGCGCTATATAAAAATTACTTTATTTATTTATTTATTTAAGGATGGGGTTAGGGTTATGGGATTATGAACAGAGATAAAGAAGGCCAAGGGTTGAAGTTGGCAATTTGGTTAATATGAATATTGACCACGGAGCAATTGTTACTCGAGCCCATGTTGCAGAACCTTTAGAATATATAGTTTCATCTTTGTCCTACGCCATGATTAATGCATGCTTTATTAACAGCTGATTCATTAAATGAATATGGATGATCAACCAAGCTTATGAATATGCATGATGACCTAAGCTTATAAATATCCATGATCAACCAATCTTACTTTTTTTTCTCTCTCTTTCTCACTTCCTCACTTCTTCCCACATCCTGATTTTCTTTCTCATTGGCTAAAACTTCATGCACTCTTACTGATTTATCCATCTTAATATTGGCTCATCAAAAACAAAATCTGTCTTTTCCTACCTTGACAATTTATGCTCTGAAATATTGTGGGTGCAATTCATTGTTGTGTATGGACACTACACTAATCATTCACTATCTAACATCTCATCTATTATTGACTAACTTCTCTTTATCTATGTACTTGCTACCATACTTTCTTTGGAATAAAACAATAATGCTTTTAATTTCATTGATCTTTGTTTGTGGTGCTTGTAACTTGTTTTTTACCCAAAAAATAATATCATAATCTTATATGTGCATGCTGACATTGCAATTTAACACACAATCATAAACTCATCTTGCAATACGTTTGGATATGTTTTACTTTGGTTTTCCTGTTTGAATTCATGTGCCTGAAATAATTCAACACCATTTGATGTGATTGCACAATCTTTGTTGTATTGTGTGTGGGTGTTCTAACACATAGGGAACTTTTCCTGAAAATTTTGCAGAACTTCAGCCAGAAACCAGAGGGGAGATCTGGAGCAAAAGGTGAAGGAAGCCATACTGGGTCAGGTGCAGACAACGAAGCCCAAGACTGACAGGTAAACGTTGATTTATCTACCGCTATATCATATTATACATTGGAATATATTCTCTTACAGATACCACTGGTAAATTATAAACTGTTAGCCAGTGTTAGGGAATAAATGCTCCCCAGGGAGTGGATAATGTGCATACATTGTGTGCCTGAAGCCTGAATCCGATGACCAGGGAAATAATATATCTGTAAAGTGCTTAGACATATCGTTGTATCAATGTATTGGGCGCTATATAACAACAGAATATTATTATCATTATTAAATGATGAAATTGATACAAACACCTCAACAACAAAAAAGATTATTTGAATGGTAGTAAGATAAAGGGGTTTTGCTAATTTACCATGCATGGATTTATATTTCTTTTCTGTTGTTTTAATGTCATGTATATTACAATTAAAGATGAAATAAGTTTACCTACTTTCATCAGAGCTCTAGTTTTATCTTGAAAAAAGTTAATGCACCTTATGACTGGGGTGTTTTTTTTTTGCAATAATAACTTTATGTTCATCAGTGTATCTCTTCATAAATTGTATATAATGTACAGATTAGTTTCTCAATCACAAATGTTTACGATAAATTATCTGTTTGCCACATTTCAGCTTGACCAAGAAAGAGAAGAAGAAGAAAGCCAAAAAGCTGGCACCTATACGATCAGCAGACCAAACCTACGATAGCGACAACCGATCAACAAACCTTAGCTCCTCTATGAGAGGAGCAGCACCCCTGCCCCTCATCTCTAGTACCCGTCGGCCTGAACCACTGGGCCAGACGGGTGATTCAGAGGATGAGAGGAGGAGAGGAAGGTACGATGATAGGAGCGAAGGGGAGGGCACAGAGGATGACGAGAGGAACTTTCTTAGAAAAAGGGGATCCGTATCGGGACCTGGAAAGGGTAAAAGAGCATCACTTAGTCAGGTGCGTGACCCAAGACGCGGCAACAAGTTGATTTAAATCTCATTCTCTGACACTTGCCTTGTGGAAGTTTTTCTCAGCTCAGAAAACTATTTGATTCATGCATGTATGAATATAAAGGTTGAATATTAATGAGTTTCTAGTCTTTCATGCTTCAGGTAGCGTTATACATATAGAACAGCCAAACAAATATATGCTATTGTATATATCTTTAATAAGTGGAGATTGCTGTATAAAATTTCACTTGCGATTCAAAACTTTGGGATCAATTAACATTCTGTTTATATCTGAAGTTAAGCTCTTTAAGTTATTCATCTTAAACAGATTTTTAATGGGTCTTTATCTATTTATTTTCCTTGTATAAGATATGGTTAATTGTTCAAATCTTAGATGTAATTTTCGATATGATTTTCACTGGGTTAAAAACCATGAAAGTGTTATGTAAAGTGCCATGTTATTAGAATTATGTCTTATAGCAACAAAGTTCAAGAGTAAGTAATTATTATAGAAAATTTCAAAGAAATTAATTAATTACTAAATGATCAGGTCGTAATAGATTTATAATGATATTGCAAGGCATGAGGATATTCCTTTCAATGTCATGAGAACCTTTTTGTAACAGTCTTTCAATATTTGGATGTTTTATTTGTTTTTAATACTTGGATCCAATATTTCAATATCACATGAGGTATTGGTTAAAAAAGGCAGATAATTGTTGTTATTATGTCGATTTCCTCAGGACTTTTTATAAATCGTTGTGACATAACAATAACTGTTCCAGTGTCAAAAAGAGGTGGTGAAAAGGAGACGAGGGATTTTTGAAAATACAAGTCTTTCTTTATCCAGCTAGAATAATGGAAAATATTTTGCAATTTACAAAATTGGAATTTAATCATGTATATAGAGGGATCTGGTAGGGTAAAGAGATATGAATCTCTCCCTCAATCATGCCATTTCTCTTATTGGGGATCTAGTAGATGTCACAACAGTGAATAAGGTGCACAAATGAATTCTTTCTAGTGGACTAACCTTTGGCTAGGCTGAATTCCTGACTAAATAGGTTGAGATCGTCCACCAAATTATGGAACACCAATTCCAGAACTCTTCATCCTCTTCAAATACTAATGTCATCAAATGGAAATAAATTGCCCATTATCATTTGTCAATTGAATTCATTCTGTTTGGGTCATTGAGTTTCAGAATACAGGAATTTGTAGATAAAGTAGGCAGGTCGACCTTCCATAAATCAGTAGACAAAGTCGACTCAAGTTTAACTCTGTCTATTTTCAAGTATAGAGGCCAATGTTTGCATTATGAACCCAAGAATACTTGTAGATACCTAGACATTTGTTGAATAATATATGTCGTACCAGCTACCATATATATAATTGGAATTATGATATGCAGTAATGTATACTTCAGAGTTACATGAACAAAATATAAACGTATGCTGATCAATTTGTACATGTTCTGAAATGTCTGAGATTGAATGTCGTGAATTTTTACAGTTGCCAACTAAACTATTCATACCCTTAAAAATTTTGTAATTTTTTTAAGTATGTGAAAAAAAAAATTGTCCCGATTAAGGTGTCTTGAGAACGGGACATGTTAAAGCTTCCATCTAAAAATATTTAACAAAGGCCCTTATTCACCCAGTTCACCTTTCATTATTGAGTTGCAAAAAATAACCCAACAAAAAAAAAACCTCAAGGAATGTGAATAATTTATTTGCTAACTGTACATGTTGTATAAAAATATTCAGTGTTGATAATATATTTTGTAAATTATTTACTTGTACATGTATGTTGTGAGAGTATATATTTGATGTAAGTTGTTTTAAAATGTACAAACTTTGCATTCATGGGCCATAAGAATCTGTCTTCAGTTTTTCACTTTTGTGTCTCAAAATGTCTTTCAAAACTCTACCTGAAATAAGTATTTTTGTTCAATTTTGAGTAGGAATGGTATTGTAAAAACATATCCTGTTTTATATCTGTGTGCAATCATTTTTAGAAACGCATTTTCAACATGAAAATAACCTTGAGATAAAATGGTATTTCATGATCCACATTGCGTTAATTTATCTGAATTAATGTATATTATATTCTTTTTATCTTGTGTAAATATATATTTCAGTCAATACTACAATTATAGTGTATCAGTAATGTGAATCAAATCAGGTCAATGATGTTTCTTGTGCATTGTTTCTTTCAGAGATATTCTTCTGTCTTTCATTGCTTTTATACATGACTTTGTATTCTAAATTTTGTGATGTTTTCAATGAAGTTTTGAATAAAATCTTATTGCTTTCTAATTGCTTGTTATTGTGATTATTCTTGTGCCTCTTAACCAGAGGCAAAACAAAGAAATTTGTGTTTAACAATGGTTATTGGTGTAATATTAAGTGCACAACAATCAGTAATATATTGCTAAGAGAAAGGATAAATTTTCTTTGTTTAAGCTTGTGTTATATCACTGGTGTCTCTATACAATCTTCCCAATTTGTTTCCAATTTTGTTCAAATATTCCAACGTGCAATCATAGTAATGTTTAGTCAATTTTTTTTAAATCAATGTACCACAATTATACCAAAACATCAACACTAACAACTCAATTTCATCTCTCAATTAAGCTCCCGATGCATACAGTGATAAAGTGGTCCTGTACCTTCTTGTGTGGTCTAGTGTCGGTCTCATCGGTGTGACTGCAGTATCATATCAGACATCCAAACTCACTCATAAAGAGAATCAATAGAAAAACAAAATATATATGGAATTCATAAATTTATTATTCCTTGGGCTACGACAGATAATGAATGTAAACATTCTCGTATCAAAAATTGTTTTGACTGGCAATGCCTACTACAGCATGCACCTTTAGAAAATTATGAAACCTTCTGTCATGCAAATCTGAAATTAACGTATCAACCAACAATTTCCCTTTACTCTTCCCTGGTTTACTTGAATATAAATGCAAGAAATATGTTTCAATCTACATATATCTAATAACATCTACTGCTGAAAGAACAGAAAATAAACCAAAGATGTGGTAAAACAGTTCACAAGGGTTTTACTTACTATCTATAACTGCTTTTAAACAAGTCTAATCATTCAAATGCATTGGCTACTATAATTTACAGATGTTACAGGAACATTTCAGTGATAAGAATTTGTAACAATTTGCTTAATGGTTTCTGACTTTGTAATAGTAGAACATATTAGAAAACCTGAATTCCAAAAAAAAATAAAAGGAATGCAATAAAACATTCTCTCTCTACGTTTCTTGCCAAAATAAATGGCATTCAATTTTCCCCCCGAAATAACTTGACACCTTCACATTATGAAGCAAAGATACACAGGAAACAATTGCTATCTGTTGAGACAATATAAATTGCAATTGATATCAACTCTCGTGTTGTTCTGATCCTTCCAAGGCCTTTTAGATAAACCTTTCACCAATCTCTGCAAAACAATTAATTCTTTGAAAATAAGTAGATGAAAACTAATGAACATGTCCCTATAAATGGATGCCATTTATTTGAACTAATCCCTTTAACCCAAGAAATTCTACAAACAGTAACAAAAATTATAAACGAGTCACAAACTTTGGGACGATATATACAGAAAGATAAAGAATTTACATCATCCAAGTTTCAAATTCCTAAACATTATTCTTTTTTCATCTCTATGGAATATTATTTACAGAAGTATGGTAAATATATTGCCAAAACATTTAATGTGGCTCATTTACAGCACAGAAAAAAAGGAAAGAAAACAATAAGAAAAGAACAGAGTAACACGATACGAATCTAGGTAGCACCTAGTCTACAATAAGTATTGATAAATATCAATATCACACTGGCTACATGATAAAAATGTATGTGTATTTGTACAAGATACTTTTTTAAACATTGGATTAAATTCATGAAACAAATAGAGTATGTAGGAAGCGAAATTACATAAAATAATGGGAAAAAAGTTGATAAAGAAATGCAATGACAAAATGCACTAGAACACACAACTAGCTGATACACCACTGGCAAATAAGGGTATAATATGACATATAAAGGTGTGTCCAGAAGTAAACACATTGTTTTTAATCTGTCATGGCTTGAAATATCATACAGTCAAATAGATAGCCAGAGAGACATTGTCTTTGTGTTAAAGGATGTGAGTTGATGTTCTTCCGGCTCTCAACAGACAAGAGGCTCAGCTCTCTCTTTTTCAACATCAAATTTTCAATACTTTTGAAACTTAGTACAAATGCATGGCCTGTATAATCATCTACTCTGGAACATGCCGTGTACAAACATACAGATTCTGAACTGCACAAAGTTTATGAAAACCACCACATGTAAAGCTAGTTAATTATTTTCTCATATATTTTAATTCACATGAACAATATCAAGGTATAATCAGTGAATAACTTTAGGTAATACTTTGAAAGGCTTGTTGCCGTAAAATAGGCCAAATCAGGCTCATTTTGCTACAGTTCCTTTCCATGAAATATAAACTGAAATATAGACTGATCCCGCCACCCATCTTCTCCAATCGGCGCTATAGTTCTCCTTAGAACTATAAGCTAAGAAAGATAACCCACAGTCCTTTTCAAGACTCTACCAACAGTCCTTTTCAGGACTACACACCCTCAAGAAAGAGAAAGATTACCGAGAGTCCTTTTCAGGACTCCTCAATCCTCCCTCTCTCTCACATGGTGCATTCGCAAGCCTACTGTATAGACTGATTCTGTCGATGAAAAAATTAAGCTATGTTCTACATATAGTGCAAATTTCACATAACAATGCTCGATGTAATGCGATGCACATGTATAATTATTGCGAGGAAAAATGTAAGGAAAAAACGAAACAAACAAAAAATCTCTTAATGCATTAAGGACAAAATCTATGAAGAAGGTATAATGAGGCATGATGAATAGGCAATGTATTATAATGTAAGCCAGAATCAAAGAGGATACATTCAATATACTAGGCTGATTCCAAATTAAGAATTCAATGACATAAATATGGTGTAAGAAACAACGCCCCTCTTAATGGTAAGGACCTATCCACATGTTTATGACACTAGAAAATTTGGAGGAAAAAAAGGAGGAAGTATATTTCTTCTTTTGGGAATATTCAATTCTGTAGTCATATTCCAGATTGTATGTCAAATGAGTATAATTCAAGTGTCCAAATGTAAACCAAACAACATTCATAATCTTATTTTGACTCAACTGTGAAACAACGTTTCTATGGAAATGGATGGGGATCAAACTCTAGTAGAGCTAGCATGTCTGCACGGAACTTTGTAAACAAGAAGCAAAGATAGAAAGCATCATCTGAAAAAATCTCATATCTGTCCAGAAAATTTAAAGAGGGATTCCAAGAACAAAATGCGACTTTGACATGCTAAACAATATCCTCTGTGATACTGGCATACATTATGCTAAACAATATCCTCTGTGATTCTGGCATACATTATAAGTTGATGGTGAACTATACTAATTTCTTTGCTTCAAAGAATCCCTTCAGATGCCTCATTTGCCAGAACCCTGTGACTAGTAGAATGACGGTCTGGGCGATGGACCACCATAGAACCCTCTGGTTTGTACTCTCACTCGTCGTTCGGAACCTCTCCTCACGATACTGAATAAAAGAAAGAACAAGAAAGAATCAATTAAATGAAAAATCTAATTAATTATTTAGTCAAAAGGAAACTATTCTCGTAATATGTAGGAAAGTGTTAATTGAAACAGGAACTATACCGTCAGTGGGCAGTATAGCATTTTTAGAGCAAACAAAAAAGAAAACGTTAAAAATCAACCTCTAACCTAAGCTGATTTTAACAAGTTCACTGGACTGAAGGTTATAGATCTTTACTTCTGGAAACTAAATTTGATTTTGAAGAAATTATGCAAGTGTCATATACATCCGTAGGCCATTGCTGCACAAAGCGGTCTCCTTATGTTATCATCATCATCACCAATATTCAGTCAAAGTAACGATGTCTTTAACACTAAAGTTTTTTTTAAGCAGATATTTCAAGAGCTTTATACCTTAGTCACAATGCCAAACCAATATGACACCCAATTTCGAATGAACGACTTTTGAACCAACCAATTCTTTTCCTTTTGGGGTAATGAAATGTTATGTTTTGCCTGTTGTTGGTCTGATGACAGTCTTGTTGTAATGGCCGAGGTTTTAATAGATCTTTACTCACCCTTTGGTAGTTCTGTTCCTTCTTGACCTGTTCGACCTGATCCAAAAGCTGCCTAACTCTGAGCTGAAGTTCTGTTAATTTATCTTTCTCCGCAATCTCCTTATAATCATTAGCATGCTCTCCAACCTCGATGTCAAGATGAATTCGCTGAAATAACAAATTCAAGAAACTTTTTAGAACTACATTTATTGACTATTTTCACAATGCCAATGAAACTACTAAAATTGTCATTCCAGGATTTTTAAAGAAATGAAAAGAAATTACTTCAGGCTCCACTCACTTTCTTAATTATATTGTACAAAACAAAGCTCCTGTATTACATTTACCGTAGTTCAGACACCTAAATTATTCTAGAAGTATTGATAACAAAGATACATGGGTGCAATGAGTGATTCTGAAAAGCTTAAAAAGAAATAGATTTCTGGTAAAACATTAGAAAGTGCTTTAAATTACTGAGAAAATTGAATTTTACCACACCAAGCCTGAAGAGCACCTACCAACAGAAATGTATTGTTTACACTGCTTAGAACTTAGAAGCCAACTATAGCCTACACAACCCTGACTTAAGTAACTCATAATAAACTGACTACTCACCAGTTTAGAGGCACCAAACATTGACCACTTGGTAGAGTTTGAGTAGAGGCACAGCGTATGTTCTCCCGGTGTGTGTGAAGTGAACGTGAATCTCCCTGAAGAGCTGTACATCTTCGATAGAATCATTTTATCTTCAGGATCTCGAACCTCCACATGCATCCCAATGCCAGGGCTTGATGGTAGGAAATCATTCTTGTTCTTGTCAAATATCTGAATTTTGTAGTTTCCTGTAATCAAGAGAGGATCAGAGGATGAAAAGATGATAAGTTTGAGTCAACTTCTTCAACAAGTAATTGGTATCGTACTTCTCATCATCATTTCAAGTCATCACACTAGCTGTTTCCCCAGTGTCTAGCACATGTTGGGAAATTTTGGGATGCTGAATTTTAGTGGGCTAATACCGGGTTGCTTGCAGCCTTGCACAGTGTGAATGTGCGAGCGTGCGTACACATTTATTTATCAATTCACCACTTTTGGAATGGAATACAGGTGTGATGCTTTTCATAGGGGTCCACTCACATTTAAAAGAAAATGCATGGATGGAACTGGTTAGCACAATCAAATTTGGCATCCCGTCATTCAAGCATCACCATATTTCAGTGCTGCACTGCCCACTTGGCAGCACATTCCGAAAACAAACAGGTAAGAGCTAAGAGGTCAATGTTTGTATCGTGTAAATCTTACTGCAATATTCTACATGCACAACATTGTGCGGAAGGTGAGTTATTTTAATCTTGAATTGCAAAGATTTTTTGGATAATTTGGAATGGAAGGGTATATTTGCAAACTTTGAAGCCACTTTACACTGTTTGGTGGTGTGTGGGAAGAGGAAATGTAGAACCTGTTTGATTGTTTGTTCATGTCACTTTTCAAGCAGGAAAATGGATGCCAATTAAGGCTTGGTGATAAACATCATATTGGGAAAATTTTGATAGGGTTATAATAAATAATAATGAACAAATCATCAGTATTATTAATTATAACCCTGACACTAACCCTATAAACGGTTAGCATGTGAGTGCATGTGCAGGTTTAGCGCTCACATGCTGTAAATTTTAGGTGTCTGTCGCAAAAGGAAATCTTTCTAAATATTACATGTCAATGTCATCACCAAGATGTTGGATTAATTAAGCTTAAGCCAAGGCTAGTCCGACAGATAATTGACATCCTTTTCACCATCAGTACCAATCACCAAATGAGACTATTAAAGACAAGAAAAAAATCGTGTCTAGAACATAGTCAAGTAGAAACTAGACTCGTTATTATTTCACGATTTCATAATCAATCAATCACATTAAGATTTCAGTATCATTATCATATGTTCTCAAAATCATGAAAAATTTAGTATAGTTTCTCAAGTGAAATTCTTCAGCAGTCTTCCCAAAGCCAAAGTTCAAATTTCAAAGACTCGGCTCGATCGTCTCACTCTGACCAGGGAGGTGAAAGAAAGGAGGCGAAACTCTTGTAATTTATTCAAACGCTTTTGTGAGTTCTAAAGCGTAACAATGGGATGTGTATCATTCCACCTGGCTTTGAATTTCCAGGCTCCGAACCGCGCTTCCACTGCGGGGACTTTCGGAAGCCAGGCACCAGTTTTACATTTATTACAAAATATTGAATTACCGGCAAAATTTCAGTGTAAATCAAAACTTTATATGGGGATTGTATTGGGAATAGTGCATCAAACAAATTTTCAAATTTAGTACTCGGTCCTTCCTATAATTTGTGTGCCAGAGTTGGTAAAAGAAAAATTACTTCCCGACAAAAATTCAATATTTCAGGATAATGCGTTAATTTGTGCATGTTTTAATGTCACATTATTTAATCCATGATTTACAATCTTCAATAACATTAAGTTTGTTAATGGGTGTTTTCACGTATTTTTTATATTTTTGAAGTTAAAAAAGGATGAAATTACACAAGTTTGTGTTCGCTTGTTCTACTCTTTACACATTCACTAATGGATGAGAAATAATTGAAAGGGACAGCGAACAGTTGCCGTGATACCATTTTCTGATGTAGGAATTCTGAAATCTGAAATTTCATGCGCTCTTTTATCTCACCACCTGGTCAACAGTTGCAGATTAGCGCATAACTTTTCGGCGGCTTGGAGCATTGGGTCAAAGGAGAGCAGCTTGATTCCAGTCCTTCTCTCTCACGTCCCTGCTCTGACCGACTCTCAGTCTCAGCTCATTCTCGATGTCTCACACAAAGAAAAATCAAATTAATTAAGATTTCGTCCTAGTTTAGAGGTCTAAATCACAGTTTTGTCTACATAACTATGCTCTTTAAATGATATTTATCTCATGATCTCAGTTAAACACGGATTTACAGCCACTAACTTGTCGATTGAGAATCCAATGCAATGTCTATCGCTACCAATTTACCTAAATAATTTACTCCTTAGTCCCACCTGTACAAAAAAATCTTGTAAGAAACAGCTGGAAAAATAATGTTATTAACAGGTCTTATACTCACCGATGACCATTGTTTCATCGGGTATTTCCTCTATAAAGCATTTCTTTTCTGTTTCACCTATGTGGAAATACAAGCTCCATGCCGGCACGACGGCTAGAATTAATAAAATGAATGATAAAATTATTCTGGCCATTTCTAATCCGTATCCGTATTCACTTCCACGCACGCGAATGAGAATCTGCGCGCATGCGTACACCTATGCCACGTATAGATAATTAGATACAAAATGTATGTATGATTTTATACATACAGATATTAATAATGGATTCCTAATGAGTAATTGCATAAAGACTTAATACTTCACTTGTAGGTTTAAAGTCATCGAAATCATGTGCGTGATTCGTCTGGACTGATAATCCAAGTGTTTCATAATTCCATAATGGCTTCGTATTAATGTATCATTTGACATTTCCGTATTATGTGGATTTTACTTTTACAAAAGCTGAATCAACTCGATCAAATTCTCGTTCATTTGCTTACATTTTTTGGACATAAATTGCATTCTTTTCTTTTTTCTCCTTATCCTTTCACTTTTCACTCTTTCTTTCTTCTTTCTTCTCAATCCACTGACAAACTGAATATCACCATTTTATAATTTACAATTATTTTTTATTTTTTTCGTATTTTAAGTTATTACTGAATTTTTAAATCAACTGTTTTTAATGCATTTTATATGATATAATGTGAGCAATGTACTTTGAATTATTACTGAATTTTTAAATCTACTGTTTTAATGCATTTTTATATGATACATTGTGCCAATTATTGTTTAATAGTCTTTGGACTTTTTATTTAGTATATTTGTAATAAAACCGAAATTGAATTGAATTGAATTGAATTTCATATTTATGAATAGGTTTTATCAGAAAAAATATGGTGGTCTGTCACCACTGCATCATCAATTTCGAGGCACAGAAAGGAATATGGCCCCGTGCAGAGGCAGAGTCAACATGGGTGGCTCTTCGAAGGTGTAGTTTACTAAGTCACATCTCCCTGGTTTACTTGAAAAATGTTCCATCCTCTAGAATAGATCCCATGGATGCTCTGATAGAGGGGTTGGAGGATCTTTACGAATCAAGCGGCAGGGTCCTCAAAAGGGCATGGAGAATGTACCCCCCCCCCCCCTCCCCCTCTTTTTTTCTCTCATCTTTTTAAGGCGCCTGGAAGGTTAGGGGCATCTGAGCGCCCTTAGCTCCGGCCCTAGCTCCCTCTCCGTGGCAGTACGCCAGTGTCGATGTAGTAATATTATTAGATGAATTTTGGGTTTGGGGTGACGCGAAACTTGTTAGCTCGTAGAAAAGTGCCGTGACTATAAAAAAAAGGGGCCGGTTGAAAATTTTATAGTAGACAAAGACTGGCGCCCCCTCAATAACTGAACCGGCGCTACGCCACTGTATGTATGTAATATCTGTATCCACAGAGTTTTCTTCAATCTCGTGACAAATTTATCAATATCGGGCATGATGAACGCAGGCATTTTGATTAGATTCATGGCAATCCCAGGGGTCTCAGTCCAAAATAAAATACTGTAAGCATGCGTGACCAAGAAAACGCGTATAATTTTTTTTTTTTTTTGTTAGTTAAGGGGTTAAGAAAAATTTCGGTTACATCAGTTTGCTAATGTAAAAACACATTTGGAAGTGCACAGGTTGATGTTATTGCTTCTCTATTTAAATAAACGTTTATGTTGTGAATTTCCATCACAAGCGCAATTTGATTTATCGCATAATCGTACATTTTCAACAACTGCAATGGTAATCCCTATCGCACTTCAAAATGCTTACTACAATCTTACAATACTTGTAGGAGTACTCTTTGGTTAAATAGCCGTTTAGGGTGTATTTTTTGGGGGGGGGGGAGGGGACACGCAAAATCCTCATTTAGGGTGTATTTTGGCTTCAGAAGAAATCCTCATTAATTTTTAGAGGGTGTTTAGAAAACCTGTGGTCGAGCATGCTAACAGACATGACGGATGTCAGTAAACAGTGCTTGACTTCGTAATTGAATTGTCGGAGAAGTACCCCCTCACATGCAAGTTCACGCATACAAATCACTCTTGGCGTGTTCATGATGATTTCGGCCTGCCAGATAACAATCCCTTCGTTCGGATCTGAACAACCGATGTTGTCATAATCACAAGCAAACATCAAAATAATGTTGGATATATACCTTCAGAACTCGAGTAGTCACGGTATAGGTACTGTAATAGTGCCCTTCTAAAAGAACAAAATTAACAGTCTCTCCATTAACTTATTACTGAATTTTTTTAATCTACTGATTTTAATGCATTTTTATATGATACATTGTGAGCCAATTATTGTTAGTCTTTGGACTTTTTATTTGGTATATTTGTAATAAAACCGAAATTGAATTGAATTGAATTGAATTGAATTGAATTGAATGCCACATTCTCACATGATATACTTGTTTTTGTTTTTTAATGTAATCGCAATTCCTTGCAACATGATGATGGTGATGATGGTGACTTCTTGTATAACGCTGGTGTCCGCATCTGCTGGGCGCGCTTGATGCTGGTCTAACATGTTTTATTGTTATTTTAAAGGATACTGTCAATGTCCCATTGCAGGCCAACAAATGAAAAAGTTAAATTCCAACGGCATTAGAAAGATAATACTAATTTAGAACTTGCCTCAAAACGAAAAGGACTTGAAAATATCTTTTTGTGGAAAAATAACGACCGTTAGTTGTGAATCGAATTTGGCGATCGCGGTCGTTTAATTAAAAAGTCAGATTTTTAGACCATTGTACCGAAAGGTTGTATGTTTTGTACTGCGCAAAGGTTCAATCAGATTAATTTTGGCCATTACAAGAAGTATAGGTTATTGATGTAGACAAATGCTCATGTACCATTTATAGCTTATATTGTGTATGTGTATTGTGATTACCAAAGAAAAAAACAAGTCAGTCACTCACTCACTCAATTAGTGTCTGACAGTGCATGGAGTCTAGAAAGTAGACGGGTTGCCTTGCATAATTTAAATACTATAGGACACTGCTAACGTTTAAATTTCACAGATAGGACACATAATGACATATTCATACTTCCTGCAAAGTTTGATGTTGGCTGCAAAAGGGATACACTCAAGGGTGTCGATTTGTATCCGTGGTTAGGGGGGGGGGGGGGGGGATGACAGGTGCCAAAATATTTTCGGCAATGGATCAAAGCAACCAAGGGGTAGAAGCATGTGCCAGGTTGTACCGCCCTCCCCAAGCGCGTAGCCAGGATTTCATTTTAGGGGGTCGGTAGTGAGCTAGCGAAGCGTGCGAAGCGCGCTCCCTATAGGGGTTGGGTGCAGGGAGGGAGGAGTTTCCCCCCTCCCCCGCGAAGCGCGGAAGCTTTGACGTTTCATTAAATTATTAGAGAAAGAAGACGATTTGTTGGACCGTTATCGACTCTTATTCCTTGTTTGAATCAAGTTCCCTTCCTCCGCGCATAGCGCGGAAGCTCTGACGTTTTATTAGATTATTAAAGAAAGAAGACGATTCGATGTTCCATTCTCGACTCTTAATCCTTAAAGTTTGAATCAAGTTCCCCTTCTTCCGCGCATAGGGCGGAAACTCTGACGTTTCGTTAGGTTATTAAAGAAAGAAGACGACTCGATGTACCATTCTCGACTCTTAATCCTTGTCTGAATTCAGCCCCCCCCCCCCCCCGCGCGAAGCGGGGAAGCTTTGACGTTTCAATAAATTACTACTCTTGATCCTTGTCTGAATTCATTTTCGCCCATCCCGCGCGAAGCGCGAAAGCTTTCACGTTTCATTAAATTATTAGAGAAAGAAGACGATTCGTTGTAACGTGTCCTTGTCTGAATTCAGTTTCCCCGCGCGGAAGTTTTGCATTTCAATAAAACATTACTCTTAGTCCATGTCTGAATTCATTTTCGCCCATCCCACGCGAAGCGCGGAAGCTTCACGTTGCATTATATTATTAGAGAAAGAAGACGATTCGTTGTATCGTGTCCTTGTCTTAGTGCAATTCCCTCCGCCCTCTCGCGCGGAGCGCGGAAGCTTTGACGTTTCATTTAATTATTACTCTTAATCCTTGTCTGAATTCATTTTCGCCCATTCCTGCGCGAAGCGCGCAAGCTTCCACATTTCATTACATTATTAGAGAAAGAAGATGATGATATAGAATTCAGTTTCACCCTTTACCGCGCGAAGCGCGGAAGCTTTGACGGTTCAATAAATTATTACTCTTAATCCTTGTCTGAATTCATTCTCGCTCATTCCTGCGCGAAGCGCGCAAGTTTCCACATTTCATTACATTATTAAAGAAAGAAGATGATGATATATAATTCAGATTTCCCCTTTACCGCACAAAGCGCGGAAGCTTCGACGGTTCAATAAATTATTACTCTTAATCCTTATCTGTATTCAATTTTGCCCATCCCGCGCGAAGCGCGGAAGCTTTACATTTTCATTAAATTATTAGAGAAGGAAGATGATTTTGTGTATCGTGTCCTTGTCTGAATTCAGTCCCCCCCCCCCCCCCCCCCATCCCGCGCGAAGCGCGGAAGCTTCGACGTTTCGTTTGATTATTACTCTTAATCCACTTCTGAAATCACTTTCAACCATCCCGCGGATAGCGCAGAAGCTTTCACGTTTCATTAAATTATTAGAAAAAGAAGACGATTTGTTGTATCGTGTACTTTGACGTTTCATTTAACTATAACTCTTAATCCTAGTCTGAATTCAGTTGCCCCCCTCCCGCGCAATGCGCGGAAGCTTAGTCGTTTCACTTAATTATTAGAGAAAGAAGACGGCTCGTTGTACTGTTATGAATATTAATCCTTGTCTGAATTCAGTTTCCCCACATGAAGTACGTTTGGAACGTTCGTTCGCAAATCTTTGCATGCACAGCCCGAGTGGTGGGTAGCATAATATTTAGCTCGTTGCTCGTTGCTCGTTCCTTTTTAACGCTGCGGCTTTGCATTTGGCGCGCTGCATTTCTATGATGCTGTTGATTGAATAAATTCATAAATTCCTGATGAAGCCGTATGAGCGAGAATTCAATTTATTCTTGTCTCATATACGGTTATCTCATTTACTTCGTATATTTATGTATTATGAAAATGAGATAACAAAATGTGTATATTGGTGGTTATCTTGCGAGTAATAACCATTAATACTACTCTCATCGGGCTCTCATCATTAATTTTTCTCTTCATTTTTTTTTTTTTTTGATGGTGAATTATTGGGGGGGGGGGGGGAATGATTGTACAGGCCACCCCCCCCCCCCACCTGAAATATTGGGGGGGGGGGGATATATCCCCCCATCCCCCCGGGATCGACACCCATGGATACACTACCTTTAAACTCATCAAATTCTTACACCAAGCGGACAGCGACATACTTTAGTAATGGGTACATTATTATTATTATTATGCCATCGCTATTCAAGAATGGTTTAATATCATTATTATTATTATTATTATTATCCCTCTCTCTCTCTCTCTCTCTCTCTCTCTCTCTCTCTCTCTTTTTCTCTCTCTCTCCCTCTCTCACTCTCTCTCTCTCTCTCTCTGGCTTTAATACAATTGTCCCTCTCAATCCACCCCTCCCATGCCTCCCCGTTTATTTTCATCTTGTTGAAGATACAATTATGCCTACTTTTGAAATAAAGGTATAGCAAGAAGATCTAACTGTATTCACCCTGCACTCTAAAAACTCAAATGTTAAATCGTCATTTAAAAGGGCTGAGGAGTGACAACCTTTTCAAAATGTCAGATCTACACTTTTAACATGCTGGATTCAAACCTTTATAGTGTTGGATCCAGCATGTTCAAAGTGTAAATGTACCATTTTGATAATGTTGTCACTCCTCATCAGCCCTTTTAAATGGTCATTTAACATGTTAGTTTTTAGAGTGTGGGATATAGAGAGAGGGGGAGAGAGAGCGAGAAAGAGAGAGAGGGAGAGAGAGAGAAAGAAGGGGATAGCGAGACTATAGGAGAGAGAAAGGGGAGATAGAGAGGGTGGCAGAGAGAGAGAGAGAGGGGGGGGGGGGGGGAGAGGGAGAGGGGAGAGAGAGGGGAGTGATGGGGGGGGGGGGGGGTTGAGAGCGGGGTATAAAACGTCGAACCGGGAAAACAATTATGCAAGGTTTGTATTGATCATTTTGTCATCTAAACAATTGTCATCAATTTCAAGGGCAATGAGCAGAAAAACCACGAATGAACAATAACCTTACAAGAATTCCATTCACCGGGTAAACAAGTACATAAACAACATAATTATTGGTAAATAGTAAATACAACACAGTCATACAATAACGGATATAAAACTTCCCGACTATAATGCATACCAGCTATTTAAACGGAAACCTCAAAAAACGGTAAAATCTGTTCTCATAATATAGGGTTACGAATACCGACTAATACCTACAAACGGCGGAATATCTCAATTTCCTGAAAACAAACATGACCAATAGACAAATTTCACGAATATAATAGAAAAAGTATCAAGGAAAACATCCTTCAAAATAAAATAAAAAATAAGAAAGTACTTTCCAATTCGAATCATAACACTCAATGTTTTATGCAATATGGGGCACAAGCCTATCTGTGCAAAAAAAAATAATGTGCCCCCTCCCTCATGATCTAACTAACACCTTTTTTTTAATCTTGCAATAGTTTACAACTTTTATATAGCTTTCCTTTTCTTTTCCTTCATTTTCATTTAGGGAATTCGCCTTTCAATAAAGAAAGTTAGATTGCCCTTACTTGCATATACCTTAGATGGATCGAGCAAGATTTGAAGCTTACAACAAACAATTCATTTAAAATTTTACCCAATATAGCTTTAATATTTAAATAAAACCATTCTTTGATAATAGTGAACTACAGAAAAGTGCCATATTAGCCTCATTTGTTCGGGTGGCGCAGTCAGGACTTTTAAAGAGACCGCATAGGGGGTAACATATACCACTTATATTTTATGAACACGGTTTTATCCTGTATTACTATATTCTACAAAAGTAATTCGAGCATTTACCAACATGAAATCAATAAAATACACACACGAACGATCATTATTATCATAACCGACGTACTGAATTATGTCTCTTATTCTTCTACCTATAATATTATATTTTAAATTATTGGTTTGTATATTGTAAGACATTGTTGAGTCATGATTCTCGTTTTTTTTTTTAAGTATTTGGTGTTTTGTTACCTTTTCCAAACTGATTGTACAAAAGTGTTTAGCTGTTTAACTGAGGGGTTAGGCTCGACTAGCACATGTGCTATTATCTGGCCCCTTTTACCAGCCAATAGTTTCTCTTCTTGTATATGTAAAATCATTGTATGAAATGTATGTATTACTGTTGGTAAATAAATCAAATCAAATCAAATTATACTGTCTCTGGGCGACAAAATGCACGTTTAGGTTGGTAATTCAGTGTAGTTATAAACATGCATATATACCCCATCCATGAAGAGGATAAGGAAATCAAATATATTATGCCTCATTTCACATATCTCTTGTTTAGTGTAACAAATTAGTCATTGTGTTGATTTTATTTATCATTTTGTATTCATTATCTGCATAATAGTTGTGTATCACTATTGTAAACAAAGCAAACTATGCCTCATTGAATGGAATATAGTCCCGTACTACGCGAACATGTGACGTCATTATTTCATTCATAAATGCGCAAGGATATTCTTTAAATAATTGGGTGATTTTTGTGAATAGGATTTTCTTTTATTATCATTTAAGATATAAATAATGCTAGTGCATTGCAATTTTTTATGAATTATTAAACTAATATTCAAAATGCATTGTCTAACGGAATCAATTCAAATTAAATAGCTGTAAAATGGAGTGAACTGTAGCACTTCATTGTTATGGCGTTAACATTATAGTGGAAATTCGCCGTGTTTTGTCTGGTTCGATTGTATCGGAAGCTGTGTGTGAGCTAGGCGAGGGAACAATAACCCGAGAACAAATGCAAGGACTTCCTGTGCAAAGTTTGTGGTTTTTACGGTAGTAGCCTCAAAAGGAAGTTTACCGCATAGTGTAAATACTGAAGTGGAATCACATGGGTTATAGTACTACAAGTTGTAAGACAACAACACGACCCAGTACGTTACAAAACCATGCCTGTACAGTGCTGCAGAGTAGATGCTTACCACTTCTAGCCTGCCCGATACCATCCCGTATCGAGTTGTTATAAGAGTGATAAACAGACGGGCTTATTTGTGGGTCGTGAAACTCTTCTCTATTAACAATGACTGTTTCTGTTCGTGTTCAGCCTGTTACAGGATCTCGGCTAAAATCATGGTTTTCGACGGAAGAATTCAGAGTTCTTTTATTGGACTGTAGATCGTTTGTATGTTACAACAGTCTACACATCGTCGACGCATTGAACGTCCACTGTCCACTGCTACTGAAGCGCCGCTCCAACGGCCCGCTGCCGGTGGACCATCTCGTAACGTGCGCTGATGCTCGGTCGAGACTCCTTGCAGGTTTCTACCAGGCAGTTTTGGTATACGATGAAGAATCGGTGCAGACAGCCAGCGAAGTATCACAAGGGAACATGACGTGGGTTTTAGAGACGTTATTTCAGGAACCACTTCTTCAACTCTCCGTGAAGATTTTTTCTCTTGTTGGTAAGTAAGGCTGATGGTGTAACTTAGATTTCTGCAGAAATCTGCAATTCTGCATGCACTCATCATCTCAGTCATGGCACAAGCACTGTGCATTGCCATTACCTGATTAAATGCCATTTTCATGCCTTATATTAAAGTCATTATGTTAATACATATATTAACAGATGTATATGAAAAAAAATGCAGAGATCTACAGTCAAATTTCCAGGTATATCATCCAAGTTCCATCTAGCATCTTCCTTCTCTAATATTTTTTATCTGATGAAATGTCACAGGGCCAGGGTCAGTATGTAATGTGCACATTGCTTCAATTCAATGTTAATTTAACGTGGCACCAGGGAATTCGTATTATATATGAATTCAAGTCTGACTTTTCAAGTATGATGTGATTTTTGTGGGATTATTTTTCACTTAAATAAAATGCTAAAAGTTGCTATTTAGCTGAGTGTTAGGTCTACATGTATCTTGAATATGTTCATGATTCATGTATAGTATGGGAATCCAGAGTCCAGACAGCATTGAACTGTTATACTAGATGTGCTGACTTTTCATGGAATTGTAGCGACTAGTCAAGTCGAGATGAATCAATTTCCGTCTTCACTTAATGAAATCTGTCCAACTTTTCTTTGATTGGTATTTTTTTGCTTCTTTATTTTGCTCTGCAGCTCATTGATTCATTTGAATATTTGTTCAAAATAATTCACTCATTCACTAAGTAATTCAGGAGTAATCTACATCATCTCATTTGCTACACATACAGGCATCCTCCTTCTCATCTGAAGATATCAGTGTAATAACTTTCCGTAGGTCATGTCCAAGCAAGCATATCGACTTGGGCCATTGGCCTGTTTGTCTTGCCATATGATCCATCCCTTCCTTACTCTACCGTAGTATCAATGATTCTATTTTGAAGATGACATATACATTGCATGCCCATCGCCTGTACTCCATACCCTCCAACTTAGGACCATAGTATTTTACATCACAGCATACCACTTCGAATGCGATGAACTTGCTGATCTCCGAAAAGCGGAGGGACAAAACCAGGGAGAGTAGTTCTAGGTAATATTGCTATTAATCCCGTCATTATTGTAACATAATATCAAATTCATGATTCCCATAAATTCTCTGCTGCTTTACTGACTCTAACGATTTATTTTAGTTGAATGTGCATGATATATGGTCTAGAGTTAATGAAATAGAAAATAGAAAAATAAATACCTTGTAGAGATACATTTTTGAGCAGAAAGATGCTAGAGACTCCCTGGAGAAAATTAACGACAGGGTAAAATGTAACCCCACCTGGGGACCCCTACCCCCCCCCCCCCCCCAAAAAAAAAAAAAAAAAAAAACATCCGAGAACCAATCATTTAGATTGACTTTAGAATATTAGATTATCTCAGAACCGAACAGAAACAAGTATGTAGACCTATTGACATACGTTCACTAGCGTTGTATTGGAGTCATTTCTTTCCTTTGTTGAGTAACTTATTTCTTCTTAAAACATATTACCTACACTTTACCATGATCTATCCCAATGAGGCATTATGCATACCAATTTGATTATTTTCTAAATTTATTCTTTATTCAATGACCGAAGGTTTAACATTTCATACGAAATGAAAGCGTTTGTGTCATGCATGTTTTTTTTTTTCAATGAATGAAATTGTTAAACAGTTTCGATTTAGTGTCTGATTTCAACAACAACAAAAAACAGTCACATGTACTTGTACCTCTTGATTTATACTGGGTTGTACTTCCGGTAGATTAATGCATCCATTATAATGTCAAACACTCATTGATTTACAAGGACTAAATTAAATATTATTCAAGAGGTCATAGTCATAAATTTCCTGTCATTTGTCTTCTTTCTTTCACTCAAAAAGCTTATGACCAATCAGTTTCGTAATATACTTGATTTAATGACTATTGCAGCACACGACAAATAAGTCAAATATCCAAATATAACTTGTCATTTAAAAAAAAGCTATTTTGGTAATAGACTGGCTGTCTCAGTCGTGTTGGGTATTTACCACAAACAATATTCCCCATTTTAACAGAAAAATCCCCAACAATACATCATCAGCGGTCACGTTTGAGTTGACCCAACCCCCCCCCCCCCCTTCTAAAAAAACGCACCATCACCTCTCCCTCTCTCTTTCCTTCTCCCTCTTTCTTTCTTTCTCTCTCTCTCTTTCTTTCTCGTCTTTCTCTCTTCTTTCTCTCTCTCTCCGTCTCTCCCTCTTCCTTCTCTCTCTTCTCTCTCATTTTTTCCTCTCTCTCTCTCTTCCTCCCCTCCCCCTTCTCTCTCCTTTTTTTTCTCTCCTTTTTTTCTGCCTCTCTCTCTTTCGCTCTTTCTCCCCCTCCCTACTCCCCACTCCAGCTGAGTTTGTTTATTACACGCACCGGAAACTATAAAATGTGGAAAATCTGAAAAATTCATTACGCCGCATTACCAAAGCCTTACAACACGTGTGGCTTCTATCTCACCGACTCCCTCTGGCGAAATACCAACATCTGTTCAATACTTCAGTCGTGTGTATACAATAAGCCACTAGTAGCTCTATCTACTGATGATCCCTTATAAATGTTTAATACGTGTACCTAGCTTACATTACTATCGCCTCAATTGTGAATTTAAATTGCATGATTCCACCTCTAAGCAGTTAGTTTACGGATATTTTGATTGAAATATTCAGCGATGCATCCAACAATGCATTTTGATTAATATATCATTATTATTTAGTTAGCCTAAACAAAATACATATTTTTACTGCTTGTATAGGTACTTTAAAAAAAAGACTTTCCTGCACATTACGTTTCGAAATTATGAATGTAGTCTAGTATTTACCCATCCACGAAGAGACGTTTTGCTTTTTTTCATCTTCCTTACTGGGTTCTTGAATCCTCTAAATGCACAATAAAAACGGGCAGCGCTGGAGTAATTGTGTTTGTCAGTCTCATTTTTCCACTCGGACATCCAAAAATATATGTTCGTTACCTGCAATGTTTTCCAAATTATAGAAATAGACGAGAAAACTTGAAAGGTAACTCGTGGGATTCACTCCGTGAAGACTGGATGTAAGACATGAAATACAATGCTTTCTCTATACGCAAGAGAATGAGAGATATTTATAATTATGATTAGGAACATTGCACATTAATCATCTGTATACGTAAAAGCCGGCAATGAATTTGAATTGCCAAATCATTCTGAGGGAATTTATTTTCATTCAGTTATTTATTCATAATATTCTTTTAAACAATTTAGAAGGAAACAAATAATGATAACTATATAATATTATAGTCAGTTAGTCACATCATCACTCTCGCATAATGATATAACTTCATAATATCTTCATAGTATTTACACACTCGTGTGAAATGTTATACCAATAGAGGCTGGTGGTGTGAAAAATCCAGTCCTCACCAATGATGTACGATGGTACCAGTATATATTTTTAATAATTTCCTGCCATTAATATTCAGCGCCCTTTACTTCAAAGGTATAGCGGAAATCATCCATGTGCGTCCACGTTGCATTTTGTTGGTCTGTTTCGATCTCAAACAAAATGTATGCACATGTTAGGTAGAAAAGGCCTCCGAAATCACTTAGTGTTTTACAACCTTTTATAACCTTTTATTATTTTTTATTTCAATTGAATTGATAGTCATTTTATATATACAACATACTAACCACATTAAAAAATGGGCAACTATATAATATGTGCCATGTAAATCCTGGAGATGGAGATATGCTAACATATTGGACTGATGGATCTCAGATTCTCAGGCCATACTGCATTTGTAAAGCAGACGATTTGCAAACATTTCCATGCATGGTGGGTAGCTCCCGAGTATTGCCTTGGAGATGCACATCTCTGACTAGCAAGCAAAACGAGGAAGGAAAGGTATCTATAGGTCAAATTTGTGCTGTCCAAAATCTCTGACATGGGGGGGGGGGGGGGCTGTCCATTTAGGCCTATACGTGCTTGTGTGTGTGTGTGTGTGGGGGGGGGGGGGTAATTGCTCCAACTCTATTACACCGCACCTGTAACTTCAATTTTATTTTGTGATATACCTGTACATGTTATATTTTGCACACCGTACATGGATGCACTCACGTTCACGATGCTCAAGCGCAAAAGGAAGCGCATCTCTTGAGACGCGAAACGAAACACTGGTTCGTGGTGTCTTATTTAATGCACGGGTTTATAATTTTTTTCCTTTTGCGGCGGAAGTAAATTCACAATATTACCTCCGGGCGATATTAAATATGAATGCGAGGAAGAGAAAAGAGAGTTTTCTAAAAACATCTAGCTACCAAGAGCGGTCGATATTCCGAGCGGGTAATCGACCGTGTGCTTTGAAGGTTTGACAAGTTTGTAAAAAATAATGATTGCATAAAAACACGTCGACATCTCAGTGCAGTGATGGCTATAATTAGACTGCCATTTCTCAAATTTCAAATATTAGTACTCCACAGATAAGTGTCTAGCAGGAAATCTCCGACTTGCGATGTAGACATTGCTACAAACTGTAGCATGGTAATTTGAGAATTATTAGTGGTAAAAATTTGGGAACAAAATTACAATTCATATTGTAGGCTGTGTGTATATGTCTCTCTCTCTCTTTAAATCTCTCAAACCTATCCCATTCAGACTATGAACTTGATACTCAAAATGATAACGCGTTCAATTGTGAACGGGGCCATCATGCGGAGAGACCATTGAGTTTCTCTCTCATTCTCATTACACCATCATTGATTACGAATCCATTTGCCTAGCTATGTGTAATATATGGGCGGTGCCTTGAGTGCGGTCTAATTACTTTTCAAGCTTCATCGAAGTGGCAATTTCCGCTTTAAGATTGGTTTAGCTGTCTATTGATTCCAAGATCTTGTTGTCAACCAACAGGCACATGTTCAAATCAAGAATAAGGTAAAAATACAAGAGAACACCTCCCTTTAGATAGTCATCAGAGGAGGAAAACAAGCGACGTAATTCAGCAAATTTAACAGTGTGTTTACCTCTTTCTATTTATCTTTCTCCCTCTCTGTATCTGTTTCCTTCTCGTTAATCGTATAATTAGGATTGATTATTCAGTTCTCATGTTTCTCATAGAATCAGGTTCATGTATATGACTGTATACTACCGAATCATTTTAATTAATTTTGGTTGGTTATTTTGCCGAAATTTAACGTATCGAATTGGTTATCTTTTTGATGTATCTGCATGTATAATCTCATAGTTTATAATAAGAGAAGATTTTTGTGCGAGAATCGGCCCATTGAATGCTGGTAGTAATAAATTAGAACCTTATTGGCATTCCAGACAAAGAAGTGAAAAAAGGAAGAGAAAATAAAAGAGAAACACAATTGAAAGCCTTTTGATCATTGCATGAGGTCAGTTCGCCTTTGGGTCAATCAATATTCGAGTGACGTTAGCAACCCGGTCAAGGTAGACGAAGGCTGTTGTAGACAAAGTGACCCTATTTACTGATTATATGAATGCAGCCTGAACGTGCATCGCCGTTGCTCGAAATACTGAATACCCTTTTTATCTCTGTCCTATAAATTTCACAAATTATTTCGCCTGTCATTCTTCTTGACTCCCAATACAAACAAAATAATAACACAATAATACACTTCCGATTATTGTGGGATAGCCTGACAACGACTAGAACTCGAGAAACCGAATACCTTTTTATTTCTTCTCGGACGTTATTTATAATGAAATACAGAATCAATTAAACAAAATGCACAAATCGCTTGTTCCACAACGGGTATCATTTCCAATGAGACTTTAGGTTCCGCATGAGTCATAAGCAGTGTTATTGTCCAAGCGATGTAATTGTTGTGGTGAAACAAATACAAAGAACACAAGAATGTATGGTGCCTATAACAGTACTACACGGAATGGTAATATAGCTATTTATATACCTCTATGGAACTCCCTATACTACTTCGGCTTGATTAGGGTGTTTACCCCCCCCCCCCCCCCCCCTCTCTCTCTCTCTCTCTCTCTCTCTCTCTCTCCCTATCTCTCTTTCTCTCTCCATTCTCAAACAAAAGAGTCCTCAGCTGTACTTGTAGGTCAATGAACGCATTTTTTTTTAAATCCATCTCTCACTCTCAAGTTCAGGGCCGAAGTAAACAGACGCTGAGAGCGTCTGTCATGCAGAAACTGCCTTTGTCCCTGACCGAGGCAACGGAGGCATACCACACGTTTTTCCCCATGGCTGTGTGTAGGTCAACGGTCTAGAATTCCTTGTTATATAGCAAAATTGGATTGAAAGAGGAAATGTTGGATCTAATTATCACTTTAGCAAATGGGCGTTATAATTAATACACCCACGTGGAAATTTTTCCCTTCTAAGCGGTTACGGATTGATTTTTTTATTTTTTATTTTTTTGAGGGGTTTAACCAGAGCAAGAAAAAGATTGTTATTGTAACTGTTAATAAAAATAACATTATAATTTATCAAATTTTGCTCAATATTTTAGCGGTCTATGTATAGCAGCGTTTTTTCAGTTTTTTCAGGATTTTCACATTCTCGGAGTAGACACTTCTAAAAAGAAACGTATTCATCATCACCGACTATTCACGTCGTTAACTCATTTCCAACTGGTTGACTAATTATTATCATACCCAGTCATAATCATCGTAATGATCTCCCCCGTTTGCGCGGTAAAAATAAAATCATCTCTAAACGTGTTCCTTGCACTCGATAATTAGTTCCGCCATTTACATAAAGTCATGACAGGCATTTTGAAACGTCTTGAGGTCTATATTTGACTGTATAGTAAGTTGAAGGGAAATTGATATTATTGCTCAGCTATTTCTCACTTCCCGCCAAATCTTGTTTTACGCGCCAAAACTGCACCCCTGTTGGGAAGGTAAATCCAATTTTCCTCTTCATTGACGAGCTGACGAGTCAACTCAAATGGCTACAACTGTCATGATTTTTTTTCTTTCTTGTGATAGTCATTTTTTTTATATTCTCGCAATCAAAGAAGGAATGGCTACAAAGTCGACGGAAGTAAAACATTGATTACTGTATCTGGAAAATTAATTAGCATTTCTGGTCGTAGCCGTTGTCTTCTGCACGGAGTGTTTATTTCATAATGTACAATTTATTTTGCAGCATCCCCCCTTCCTCTCTCTCTCTCTCTCTCTCTCTCTCTCTCTAATTTTATCTACCATTATATAGGGTCCACGTCTAATACTGACGATCATGTTCTCCATCCCTCTTTTTTATCATCCTTCTCCATTAGCACCACTCCGTGGCCTTCCACTCCTCTCTCACGTCACCTCATAGAGTATCCATCCTTCCATCCTTGCACTTGATTGTGTAGGGATTCTTATACCGATGTATAGGGAGGGCACGTGAGATGTCTGGCTATTTGCATAGAAGGTCATTGCATCTCCTTCCTGCGGGATTATCTATATATCGTCAGTAGAAAAACATGATAAAAGAAATCTTAAAAGCTGTCGATATTAAAAGGCGAAAACACACACACGTCAGAAGGAGGTATAGTTTCCAATCAAAACAGCTGCAGCTTCAAGTTTTGATTCTCCGTTTCCGTATTTTCTATTTTCAGTCCCGATGTGCTGAAGAGCCGGCGAAAACTAAAAAAGCTCAAAATCTCTTGGAAGAGCACTTACCAAGCCCGTGTATTGAAAATGTTATTTTGCAAGAATATCCGTATTTGATATGATTTTTATTTTTCCTTTCGAGGGGGGGGGGGGGGGGGGGGGCTTGTACTCTAATCCTGCGTGTCCTTTCCCATTTCCCTGATTCACTTCCTTTTCCTGTTATATACAGTCGTCATATTTCAAGCCCCTTCCTTATTTTTGATATTATGAATGTTTACATCTTTCATTTAAAACTGACGCTAAAAGTGACAAGTCGTGAACAGCCTTCAAATTTCTTTAACTAATATTTGATTTGACAAAGGTACAAACGGAAATGGGCCAGAATGCAATAAAATTAATCATAGCATCGGAGAGTTTGATGGCGAATTACGCTGACAATGAAGATCACTGGTGTAAAACATCACAGAAAATGACGTAATATTCTCCACAGTATCCTTTTAATGAACTCACAATACATGATGTATTGAATTAATGAATCAGACTAGACTAAGCCTAAGTTATTATGACTCCAATATGGTTGTGTACATAAAGGTACTTCTGTCATTATGTGCCATTGTTCGAAAAGAACTTACAAGCCTTGGTTTCGTGAATCACACTACGAAAATAATTTGTAAGCCGTATCTGTCTTTATAACGGCGAGCATAAGTTTGTTGCACTCGCGTCTGAATGGTTGGATGCGTGGAATGTATTTATTCTCCGGGGTTGATCCTAAATGGATTAATCTTTATCCTCGTTTAACTTGAACGAGTAGGCGGAGTTCACGTAGGATGTATTCATCTATTCCACGTTCCTCGTCACCATCACCATCATCATGGTCATTATACAGGATATTACTACTCTATGATGGTCACTCAATGAAATGCCCCCATCCGCTCTACCACGAAGTTATTAAGCCAATAAAGACATAAACAAGAATTATGATTTCCTAATTTCTCAAAAATTATCTTTACATTGAGAATAATTATATGATCTTAGTGTACTAGGTGTGAATCTGATGAATGTATAGGACATTTCATTGTAAAAGTAACTCATCGCGGTCATGAATGTATATTGAGTTATTGAGTACTACAAAATAAAGTCTTACAATTATTTTACCCACTTTTATTTAAACATTTACAACAATCATCGCACTTTCCAAATCCAAATACGCGAAAGTAAACACACATTTTGACACGTGTTCAAGTTCTTGCATGACCCATATCTGTACCAGCCTTCTCTGCGGTTTTGTGGAACATTAACATAATCACTTGATTGACTGGAGCGAAGCAAAGCCAGTTAGCAGCGCGCGCAATCATTCATAGAGGATGCAAAAACTTCCGGTGGTTCTGAGTTAGCGCGCGCTCGACCGACCATGGATGTGCATGTACCTATTTCAGAATACGTAAACAACACGTACGTCGTGTATAGAAAAGGGGTGTGTGCATTTTTGTGTGTGCGCTGCGAGGCAGTATAAAAACGTGGTCAGTGTTTTTTTAGGGCATTCATTAGAGAGCCTCACGGTGAATCATACACACACTGTCTCAGTTCTTGCTTGTGCCTTACTTTGGGATAATATATTTTGTTACTATACATTCAGGATTGATTTGAATTCGGTTGTTTTGGAATAAGTAATACTAGTGTTTCACTCATGATCATCGATGATATGCCTTCGTGTGCTTTAGCAGGTAGATAAATTGTTTCATTTTGTAGCGCATTGTTTTTGTGGTTTTCTTCCATTTCTTGAAGCCTATACTCACCCGTTTTACTACAGAAAACTTGCTTATTTATTATCTGTGAATGAGATGTTCTTTGATTTATGGTGACTATTTCAATGTGTTTCTTTCAATTATTTTCAACACTTTGGATAATATACAATTCATTTTCTTTGTATTAAATGGAACATTGCTTTTCATCGGAATCATTGGAAATCCAGTCTTTTTTTTTATTCAATCGCAAGTCCATTCACAATCCAATAATTTGAAGATTTATGATACTGATGGATTATAGCAGCACTTGGATCCCATGTTTTTTTTATTGTCGGTCAAATCCTTATGTCCTTATTTTCAGGAGGCAGTTTGTTTGTGTCAACAAATTTTTAGTGAAATGCCTTTTCGGGGCTTTAGTCCCCAAGAATATTTGATTGTGATCCTGCATTGGTGCCATGCCCCATATTATATTTCTTCAGCAGTATTTTTAACCACGAATTATCTTATTTTGTCTTCCACAGGTGGTTTTAACCAATTCTCTGTAGAGTTTCCCTCACTGTGTGTGGGTTCACCAACCAAATCAATTTTCAACATGCCATCTCCACCGCTTGCTCCGCTCAACCTCACCCCTTCGACATATCGCCACCAATGCTCGGACAAGCGCCCGTCCACACCCACCGCTGCAACCCCCACCGCTCCTCCACGTAGCCCCCGTCCCCCACTGCAACGACGTGGCCCCGCTCTCTCACTGGCACTGCCAACCATCAAATGTACCCAAGTACCCGAATCGTCCAGATCGTCCAAATACAGCACTGCCTCAACAACCTCCAGACCTACCACACCTCTAGTGCCTAAAGGATGTCCGCAGATTGGACAGTCTGGTCCAGGATACGAGTGCAATGCTCCTGTAAGGCTACTTCCTCATCTATACCTGGGGAGCAACTTCCACGCCTCCAGATTAGCTGTCTTGGAAGAACACGGCATTACAGCTGTATTAAACGTTTCCAGGCTACCCAACTACTTCCCAACGTGTTTCAGATATATGCAGATCCTAGTCGATGATAACACAGATGCAGATCTATTGCCCTGGTTCGAGGAAGCCAATAACTTTATCGGTGAGTAAAAGAAGAACAAACAAAAATCGGCATGATATTTTATCTATAGTAAACCATCAGCAACAAAAATTAGAGTGAGATGAATATCTACAGTCACATGTTCGTCTACATTATGAGTTTAGTTTAAAGAAATTATTAGCCTCTTTTTATTACCTAAATCAGAAGAAATTGTGAGAAAAAAAACCAAAGCCCATATTGGTTTGATGAGCAGCCTCAAATTTTTGTTTTCCTTTTTATGTTCTAGCAGAGACTAAACAAATGTTAAAATATAACCTGTTTGGCTTTTTATGGATAAATAAAGGTCAACACAGATAAATCCACATTTACTGTACTTGTAAAGTTTTTGTTAAACAGAAAAGAGAGTGTATTTACGAAGTGTCTATTTTCTCCTTTCCCTTGTCATTTTATAGATTCTATCGAGAGATGTAAAGGTCGAGTCCTAGTCCACTGTCATGCCGGTATTAGCCGCTCAGCAACGATTTGTCTGGCATACCTCATGAAAGTCCGGCAAATCCGCCTGGAGGAAGCCTTCGAGTTTGTCCGTAGCGAGCGAACCGTCATCTCGCCCAACCTCGCCTTCATGTTGCAACTGCTGCGTTTTGAGAACGAACTAGCGAGCAGTCGAAAAGAGAACACCGATCAGAACTCACCTTGTAATAACCATACCAGTAATACTTTCTTCAGTAATAGCGCATCCGCATGTAGTTCAACCACCAAGTATTCAGATTCGGCATTCTCACCGACATTAAGTCCTGCCTCCCCCACGACGACGATGACGACGACGACGGGGAAACCTTCATCCACGAGACAGCTCAGTTTGGGTAACTCTCCGTTGTTGATAAAGAGGATGGCGCGGAGTGTGTCTCGATCCAAGAGTCAGAACTCGAGTCCTGTCGGTACGGACGCAAGGAAACAGACCTTGGCTTTCAATTTCAATCTTCCCGTCTTACCGAAAAGCGTCTCAGCTCATTCATGTGCCTTGGAATGCACAGATCTTAGCCCAACACCGAGTCCAATCTTCTTTCCCATGTGATACAAACCAAGACACGACTCGGTCGTCATTATATTTTTATAAACTTTACTTTTTTATTGAGTTTCTGCCCACGAAGGACCGACACTGTTCATGCGAGTTATTGTTCTAATGGCCGAACTAATTCTTTGAACCGAAATCTCGCCAAAATGTTGACATTCCTTGAGGGAAAAGGTTATAAATGTTAAATGTTTTTCATGATTTGATGATGAAGGTTTCTTAGTTGATACGTTCAAGTTTTCTGTATATTTTCAATGTGTTTCAGTATTCATACTACCAGAGAAAGGTTGTACATATTTGATATTGTTAATCTCTGGATGTTCTGTTGTATCTAACTTAAAGGCTGATAGATTTTGTTGTTTCTTTGTTACGTTTTCATGAGTAAAACTGTTCTTTTTTACTTTCATTTTATTACATTTCTTACGATGATACCTGAAAGGTCCCTTTGTTAATGTCTTGAATACTTTCATATTTATGTGTTCATAATTTGATTTTATAACCTGATAAAAGATTAAAGATTGCTTTCGAGGAGTACAGATGAAATAGTGCCTAAATTATGTTATCATGACATTAATCGTTTTCGAATACTTATTTCTTTACATATTACAAAAATGCGATACCGTCCCAAATCTTGTGAAAATGAAACATTTTTCTTTAAAAACTTCTTCTTTTTTAAAGCAAAATTGAATAGTGAGAGGTGGGGGAGGGGAGGAGAGAGAGAGAGGGGCGTGATTCAACGTTTAATGCCAAGAAAACAATGCTTACATTACAGCATTCTTTTGTACATGTATTAGATATATGTGGTAATGTTGTGCTAACTACTATTGTTCTGTTGTTGCAATAAGTTGAGAGATCATGCAAATATTGTTGTCATGGTGCTTTTGAATTTGTTCTAACTTTGATATTCGCATTATTATGTATGAAGGAAACTTTGTAATTTTGTACGTTTGTTATCAATGGGAAGACAAAAATCATGGTTTTTATGTTTTTGCATTTGTAATGGATGCTCAGTAAGAAAATGTGTTGATATTTATTAGTTTGTGATTGTATGTCTGTTGATCGGTAGTTCTGTACCATTTTTGCTTGCCATGGCAGAGCCGTGCAATATTCGTTTCAAATGAGTTCGTTATAATGTGTTCACTTTTAAAGCTACTTACATCATGATTTTACTCATTTTATTCATTTATTTGATCATAATCATTGTTACCATGAAAGATATACAAATTTAGTTTCGTTGATGGTATATTTCTTTGACAATAGTTTTTATGGTTATGCTTAAAAGCATTGGTAATAAATCCGTTGAAAACTTTTATGTGAATCGCATTCAATTATCTATTTTATGTTCATTGTTTTGTTTTGCTTTGCTAAGGCGGAGATATTCAAAGAAATGAAAAACAAGTGAAATCAATCGATAAGATTATGTGTCAAGCTGTATATGATTTTGTTCACACATGCAATGCCAAGATTATTTATGAATAAAGAACAATGTCCTTGGGCCAATGAAAATCAAACAAATGATTACACGTTTCCATGTTTTATCTCCTTCTCTTCCTTTTGCTTGATGTGTATTTCGGGTGATTTTGTGCCGAGTGTGTCGATAACCAATGCGATTTATACAGGACCTACAGAAAATGCGAGGATTAAGAGAAACGTAAAATAGTTAAACATATCAATTGACTTTGCATGGTGGATCTAGAAAGCGAGTATAATAGAGCATAGTGAGTAAATCGTTTCACTTATTAAACTTAAGTAATTTTCTTCATTTCTCCCTCCCGGATAAAGTACTTTGATGATGTAAAGGTTGTGAGTTGAGAGGAGTTGTGTAGCTGTTTAACGTGAATAGTGGATGAAATGCTTGCTACTGCTAGTTAAAATTGTTTTCCTTTTTTTCTTTACCCACTGGCAATATTTGTTAGATTATGAGATTAGATATTAGATTACTGAACAACAAAGTCCATCTCTTCTTATAAAGCACAACTTGAATAATTATCTATCGGTCGATGCCAATACGGAAAATAAATGATGAAAATATATTTATAAAAAAAAGTTTTGCATGAATGGAAATCGTTTTTCTCTATTCCAAGTATGTATCTCTCTCTGTCCCTCCATCTCTCTTTCAATCTCTCTCTCTCTCTCTCTCTCTCTCTCTCTCTCTCTCTCTCTCTCTCTCAATCTAGCCTTTTCTCTCTTTTTCTTCTTCTCTTCTCTCCATCCTTCTCCCTCCCTTTTTCCCATTTCCTCCCTGAATGTCTCCACTGGCTCATCCACAATAATTACCAAAAAGGGTTTTGCATGAATGAAAAGGGTTTTTCTTTTTGCTGTTTCCAAGTATATTATTGTATCTCTCTCCCTATCTCCATCTCTCTCTCTCTCTCTCTCTCTCTCTCTCTCTCTCTCTCTCTCTCTCTCTCTCTCTCTCTCTCTCTCTCTCTCTCTCTCTCTCTCTCTCTCTCTCTCTCTCTCTCTCTCCCTCCCCCTCCCCCCTCTCTCTCTCTCTCTCTCTCTCTCCCTCCCTCCCTCTCTCTCTCTTTTTTTTTCTCTCTCTCTATCTATCTCTCTCTCCCACCCCCTCTCTCTCTCTTTAGTCATCTCTCTAACTCTCTCTTTCTCTTTAACTTCTCTCCATCTTTCTCCCTCCCTCTTTTCCTCTGTTCCTATATCATCCCTATCTTTCTCATACTTGCTCATTCACAATTATAACCAAAGTAAGTCCGCGCACTCAGCAAATCAACTGCGATTAAAATGTATGGCAAGATCGGTTCCTTTCATCCAAGCTGAATCCCACACATGAGGTTCATTAGCGAATTAAGGAAGTGTCATAAATTAATTGCCTCTATCTCCACGATTAATCATGATCTTAAAATAGATAGCACTAACATAGCGGTACAGAACAGTACACAAACCAGTCGGAACGGTACTACTGTTAAGTCATTAAACAGATTACTCGAGAAAATAATCGAGATAAACCTTTTCATGTTTGCAAGCATGCGAGAGCAAAGTGGTTATCGTTGTGATATCTTACCGAGTACATCTACAGTGACATAGATAAAAAAAAAAAAAACTTGTTGTGAAGAAATAATATTTACTTGATCCAGATTGTAATGGGTTTAGTGGTTACATAGCAGGGGGCCATTATACTCCCTCTTTTTCTTCTTTTCTCATTTCTGTCATTTTGTAATAATTTTATTTGTTTGTATACAAAATGAATAATAACGTAGCGTAAGTTTTGGGATCGAATCGTCATGAAAAGGATGAAAAATATACACTTACAATAACAATGTGGCCAGAATCCCGGTCTACGCACTTAAAGGGGAACAGCTTTTCTGAAAACGAAACTTCTTAACCCTATAAATCTTGAGCTCTGGTATGGGCATTGTATGTCGAGGGAAAGTGGCTGTAATTCATTCTGGATTGTTTATCCTGCAGTAGAATGATAATTCGAACCAGTAAAATAAAAACAACCTCACAAAAACTTGCTGGAAATCATCTTCAATAAAAATCACAACTCATTTATATTTTGCACATAATTATAGGGACCTGTGTTAAGCACATGGTGTCGGGCCTATAATATACTTACCTTGATTTCCTTATCTTTCTATGCTCATTACTCAGCCCCTATACACAGTATAAATCTTGTTGGATTCTGTGAGAATTTATCTTCAATCATTACAAGAACTCAAACTTATCTTTAACTAAACGCATTTTAACCAAAATACTTCAACCTATAACTTTAACCTTTCAACGTTCCTTATGGATGAACAAAACGATTGGCAATTCACTTTTCTAATTATCACTGTACTATTTAAAGAACGGAAAACATATTTTTCCACCATCGTAGCATTACCAAAGTGAGCTTTGACCGTTGTATTATGGTCATGTGACCAATGACACGCTACCGTCTTATTTGCAGATCATGGCTTTTGTGTTAAGTGGGAGATATACAATAAATCTTTCTTTTTTTATTCTCTGTGGTTGTGAATTTGTATCATTTTGTTTCGTTTCTTTAATGATCGACTGATCGGGTTCACTTTATTGGACTTTTATAGAGTTATCTTGTTATTCTTTAAACCAAGTCTTATCGCACTCCCTTTATTGATTTGTAAAAGGTGATTTACATGTACATGACTGATATACACCATTGGTATTATTCTCAATTATGTGGTCGGAATGGAGCTTTTCGACGGTCAAATTATATATTCATGTTTATAGAACTATAGCTATAGCTAAATAATGCTTTAGTTTAAGCTATCCAACATTAAGGTTTTTTTGCACAATGATTTATATTTTCGCGCATTGTCATGCATGATCGTAGAGTTTGTGAGTCCTATAAAACCTGCAAAAGACGGAACGTATCTGACTATCTTAAACTCACCATCTGTCGATTTCTAGAAAAAAGAATATATTTCTAAAACTAATATATAGCTCGTGAGTTTAACCAAAGAAAAAAAATAAAATTGCGAACGATGGAAATGATATAGTGTTTTGAAATGTGATATTTTTCACATCATACAGCGGGTTAACCATATACCAGCATGACCAGCAGAAGTGCTCTGCATGGTTCAACAATCGAACTGGAATTATATTTTGGTGTGGCAAGAAAAGTAATAATTTGAAACATACCCGCTCTATATCTTGATTTCCTGTATTTTATAGTCATGTTTACCTCACTGTTTATTGGCTCCACGCCATTTTCATCACTCCATCCTAGATTCACTCTTCTCTCTTTCCTCTCATTCTTTCATTTTGTTTCCCTTTATCTGTTTATACTGCTAATCTGGTACAGTATAATTATATTTAAAAAATTATTATCTCAATCTGGAGTCTTTATTCTCTCTTTTCTCTCGCATCCACCATATCCAAATAATGAACATTTTCTTTTAAAAACACCACATTAACAACCCTCCCCATCCCCAACAAATCAACAACTACAAAATAATAAAAATATTAATCATGATAATAATAATATTGATAAATAAATAAATAAATGAATCAATATAAATAAAAAATAAATTGTTTATTCATTCTTACTGACTATGTTGCTTAATATACAAATACCCTTGGTAAAAAGCTAAATAGACATTTACTTTATACATGCCATACGTCATGGTTCTAAGGCCATACCCATCATAAATCTGTCTTTCCCTCTCTCTGTATCGGGAAGGAACTAATTAACAAGTTCTCATCTCATACAACCATTCAAATACCCCGATTAATCTCCCCGGCTCACAACGATCAGGGACATTATTTGTAGCACAATGGTGCAGCCATTCTGCATCTGTATTCGTTTTCCTTCCGATGTGCATTAGAAAGGGCAAGTATTTCCCATTGCCTTACATGGTGAAAAAGTAATGACGATAGACAGCGGCGAAGCTATAGAGGGCATGGGGGTACGTGCCCCACCCCTACCCCTCCCCCTCCCACAATCAATCGGCGGAGAAAACAAAAGGGAGAGGAATATGTGAAACGTGAAAAGAAGATGATACGACCACATCCGAAAGCCCCCCCCCCCCCTCCCCAAGTAGCCTTTTTATTTCACAGTTCGGCCCCTCAGTTAGACCAGTGTACCCCTCCCCTTGATGCCGTACCCACTCCATGAATAGACAAGACAAGTGCTACGCCACTAGCGACCGAAATGGAAGTGACATTTTCTCATTTTTTTAAAGTTTGGCACAGTGACGAGTCTAACCGTAAGTGAAAACAGACAGAATGTATATTTATCTCTTGTTGTTTCATTCTGTTTTATTTCTTTCCTTTTTAGGAGATGTGGGTCAGCTGATATTTGCAGTCATAATTTTAGTCGTCACCCTGAAGGCATAAGTCTTAAATCTGCGTGGTAGGAGGAAATGTGTAAAGATGAGTAGAGTCAACTTTCATCATCATCATCATCATAATAATATATTCATTTATACAGTGCTTAATTTCAAGTGTTGTGCTATCATTACCCATGATAAAATGAACATGATATACACAAATAGACACACTAGGAGCCAAGCGTTACAAATTGGGTTTACGTATTTCCTGTTTTTGTGTTTTTCATATAAACTTGCTCAAGTGTTATGAAGATTTGATTTAATATTTTACAGAATGCCTCACTGCCACTTGAGGGGAAGTTCCTTCCTTCATTCATACGAGAATCATGTATTTACCGTTAGCTTCTAAAAAGAGAGGAATTTATATAGTTTACAAAGAGAGGCACTCTTCAGCACAGAAATGGGATTTATGCAATGCGAAATGTAAAATGAATTACATTTAAATTGAAAAAAATCTTATATATATTTATTGAAGAATTTGTAGGATCATACTCTAAGTGATTTTCACAATAACAAGTATTTTACCATGCGCTTTCTTAAATCATGTATAGCCATGTGAGGCATAAGATAAAGTTTTAAAAAGGAAAATAAAATAAACTACATCATGAATCTCAACTAGAGCAGAACTAAGGAGGATTGAAATGAAATGTTTTTTTATTTTTCAAAAGCAAGGAAGGTCTATTCAAACTAACTAAATACATTCTT